TTATAAGTACAATGTAAAAAATATTTCACCGCAAATAAATATTATATATCAAACTGTCGTGGAGCTATTTAAATCTCGTAACCCTTGACGTAACCTCTGGGGGGTCGCGAACTTCGTTTTTTTGGGAGGAGGGAAATTCCTATTTTGCCGAATGAAATTTCGAATTCAACCGAATCATTAATAGGTATGTAATTCACTAACTTAATCCAAAAAATTATTTTGTTCAGCAATATTTTTATATTATGTTATGTTATATTATGTTAAATATTGTGTTATATTTTGTTCTGCAATATTTTTATATTATGTGGGCTCGTGAAATGCCATCGGAGATCAATAAATTTTCAGTGGCGACTGTATTTTCAGATTTTTATAGTTTTGTTTTATAACCGTCGTTGAACAGTCGACCCAATTTTTGGGTTTACGACTACTAATGTTCAACTCCGTAGCCCTCCAATTTTGAACCAACTTCAGACAACAAGGAAACTCTTGCACCAAGTATTGGGAGAGATTTGCCTTCTTGTAGGACTTTTTGATGGTACTAACCCACATTTGCGTGACATGGAGAAGAAAACCGCGAAAATCTCCCACTGTTAGCCTGACTGCAAATGGACTCCAACCCATGATCCGACTACTACAGAGGATATTTTACGTCAGCACTGTGGTCGGTGCTAACCGATTGCGGAATTCGTATCGACCAGCCACCGCAGGGACTCGAACCCGGTACACCTCATTGGAAGGCGAACGCTCTATCCTCTAAGCCATCACGGCTCTTTCAGATTTTTAATTACGATGCATTTTTTACATTTTAATATTTATATAAAAAGAATCGGTCGGAGAATTAAGCATTATTATTCTATTACATAATTCGAAATTCACTTGCGCAATACTATATGATTAAACATATCGGGATTTTAAAAAAAAAGCGTTAAGAAACTTGTAACTGCAATCGTTGAAAAAGCATATGCATTTAGGTGAAATAAGTGCAAAATCGAAAGAAGGTTGAAAATCAATAGGTTATTATTCACATGCGCGATTGAGATTCATTAATCGTAATAGTTTAAAAAAAATCATTTTTAAAAAAAAAAATTATGTAGAAATCTATATTCATAACGCTGATTATGAGTGGCTCGATAAACAATGCGAATTCGCTACAAAATCGGCATAAATCTACCACGTGAGTTAAAAATACCATATGGAATTATGTTGAAATAGTGCACAATCGAAAGAAGGTTGAAAATCAATAGGTGATTACTCACATGCGCAATCTAAATTCATTAGCCGTAATACGAGTAGTTTAAAAACAACATTTTTTTTTCAAAAAATATTTAAAAATCTATGATCAAAACGCCGATTAAGTGCTTCGATAAACAATGCGAATTCATGACGAATTCGGCGTAAATCTTCTACGTGAGTTTAAAATTTCTTATTTAAATGCCCGATTGGAAATTCTTTTCGAAATAGTATTTTATTAAAATATCGGAATTTCAAAAGAAAACCATGTTGATATCTATGAAAATAATTTCTGAAACATCGCATGGATTTACGATAAAATCGGCGCAATATCGAGACCGTCATAGTTGATCCTTTAAATGAGCGATTCGTAGTAATTTCGTATTTAAAAAATTAAAAACTCGTACCATTTACATTTATTTCATCAATAATAATAATAAGCATTTGTTTTTATCCACAGCAGTTTTTTTGCTAGGCTCCTGACTTCAGAATTCACCTGCGTAATTTTTCTGGTCTCGCAGACTCGAAACTTTTTGACGAAGTTGCGCCGAATTTATAAATTTGTGTTAGAAGAAAAAAAAAACTATCTATATTGAACCTTATTACAAAAAAAAACCCAAATTCTCAAATAATATTTTTATTTAATTTTAAAAACACAGCACTTCGAATACACATAGCTTTTTATTATGTTGATATTTAAAAATAATATTAATCATAAGTATTTGATTCATGAAAACAAATGTGTGAAGCCAACAAAATTTCAAATTTGGAAATAAAAAAAGACTATAAACGGGGAGGTGTTACTATTTTTACTGGCTATCCTAATTTTTGCTGATTATCAATAGTAACAAAATTTCAAATTTGGAAATAAAAAAAGACTATAAACGGGGAGGTGTTACTATTTTTACTGGCTATCGTAATTTTTGCTGATTATCAATAACGATTTGTCCATGGGTAAGTCATTGAACTGTTGTGAAGAACTGGGATAAGATTCTGAGAGGTGGCTTGAAGTCCACGCCGCTTCAGATCGAAGGGTGCCAATTTATCTGAGAAATAAAGGCTACATGTGCGCTATGTTGACCGCATTGTCACAATCAGCAATTGCCATATTGAGAAATCTTATTGAACTCCTTTGCACTTTAATAGGCAGTTGCGAGACTGCTTTACTTCCATTCTGGTCAATAAATGAAGTAGCCTTACTCCAACATGCACAGGGTCCTAAAAATGTAGCTTTATTTTTTGCCCCTCATTATAATTTCGAAAGAAAATGAAGTTTTTTACCTGCAAAATAGAATGATTTACTTTCCCAATTGTTAAAAGGCACGTTATTCGCCCCTTCAATTTAATTTCATAACAAAATCAAGTTTCATATTTGGTGTATAGCTTTAAAGTTGGTAAAGAATAGCTTTCTTTTCTTCTCTAAAATTACCAATTTTACTTGACTTTGTCTTGGTGAAATATCGGAAGGGGTGTAGCACATTATTTACCACACACTTAAATTTTAGAGGAATATAAAGCTTTCTATTTGAAAAATAGCTTCAAAACTGAAAAAAAAAATTTCATTACCAAGACACCCTCCACTAAAACATTACATATGCATAAAATGTTACTTTGGGGATGTCGTTCGCGAGCAATGGGGACAAGAAAAAAGTTAAAATAAAATTTACTTAAATTAATTGATATATATTTGTTATTTCGACAGTTTTCGATTAACTAGAGTAGTAGTAATTAAATCTAAGGTAGAACTCAATGACAGCTGAAAAAAAAATTTATCGTTTTCTGACCGCTGAAAACGGAATTTAGCTCCAAAAGTTGTCAATCAAAATTTCGACCTAATTCCGACTAGCTAGAGTGCTCTAAATTTTAATTAGAGCTTCTTGCATAATGAAAATACAGATTACAATTGTATCCTAAATGTTGCTGCAAAAATTAGCCGATATTATCGTCTATCGACTTTTTAATATTTTTCCAACACAAACTATTGACACAAAACTAAAAAGGAGAAAGAAGAAAGGAAAAGGAATTTTTAAGTCAGTGTGCGGGTGGGTGACCGCTTGGATCAGTCTGCGTAGGGACCGAGGGTGTGCGGTATTTGTCCTCGTTAAACTGTTCTACTGCTCGACTTCGCGGGCAGGTCGTCGGGCTACCGAAGCGGGGGTGACATCCCTTCTGCAGAGGATCAAAATTGTGATGGCATGTCTTCGAATCATCCTCAGGGATGTTTCCCAGACCGTCGCCAATAACCCATTGTGCAGTTCTAGTGCGACGTAAATGAACTACAACAACAACATTTTTGTTTTTTAAATCCATTAATGATTATTTGGACAATAAGCCACATTCTTGTACATACGCACATAGTTTTCTCTCTTGTACAACCATTTATCATATCTGTTGAAATGACAATAGAGTTTAACTCAAAATAAATAATATCACGTCTGTGGACAGCATTTATTTTATGTTTAAGTAACTTAATTTGCGTTTTTCTTATAATCTGAACAATTCTAATAGTGTCAGTATTTAATAATTCAGATATCTGTTAAAAATAAGTATAAACTTTATTCAAGGATAGGAATAAATAAATCAGTTGTGAAATTCCTCTTTCTCTGAAAATGACCCTCAGTCTAGTTAGTTGTTGTAGTTCATTTACGTCGTACTAGAGCTGCACAATGAGCTATTGGCGACGGCGAAGACATGCCACCACAATTTTGATCCTCTGCGGAGGGGATGGCACCCCCGCTTCAGTAGCCTGAGACCTGCACTCGAAGTCGAGCACTTCAGTCTAGTTAGAGTGCCTACTTGAGTCATACGAAATATAATCAGGAAAAACAAAAAGAAATAAATATACACAACATATGTAAACTGTTCTTTTTGTTTTGGTGATATTTTTATTAGATATTTTATAACAAATGCTAAATTCATGCTTCACATATTTATTTTTGTAAAAATTTTCTTCCATCATTTCTTAAAAAAAAAAAAAAAAAAATTTTATATACGTTGTTTTTAACAAACTAAATTTAAATATTAAAAGAAATGTTTTTAGATTTGTAAGGAAGTTTAACTGCTAAACAAAATGCACTTATATTTTGACCTACGTTTTATTTTCTTTATGAACATCTTTTTTTTATCACTGTGTTTGGTGATAAACTGTTTTCATTTATTTATTTATTCCAAAACAGATTTTTTAAAAAANATATGCGTTGTTTTTAACAAACTAAATTTAAATATTAAAAGAAATGTTTTAAGATTTGTAAGGAAGTTTAACTGCTAAACAAAATGCACTTATATTTTGATCTACGTTTTATTTTCTTTATGAACATCTTTTTTTTATCACTGTGTTTGGTGATAAACTGTTTTCATTTATTTATTTATTCCAAAACAGATTTTTTAAAAAAATAAATATCTATAAATTTTCTTGAAATAATTTTTATATAATGATTTTTTCATTTCGGAAAGACTTAAAAAAGCTCTAAAAAATATAAGTTGGAGTAAGATTATTTTAATTATTAAAAGCTTTAATTAAAGTAACTCTAAAGTCAGAATTTCTAATTAAATCGAAAGATTTTACTGCTCCATTTTCTCTTGCCTTATTTTTTTTCTCTCCTATCAAAGTAAAATCTCAAATAATTTACTTTTCATTCATTTCATCAAAATAAATTAAAATCACCACGCATGCAGATTAGCATACTAACATCGATAAATAAATAAATAAATAATATTTATTTCTTAAACTTTTAATTTTTAGCAACAGATGACGCCACATTCAGTTCTTGAGGTTTTTGACTTATCAAACAGCCGATGAGTGTGTAAACCATGGATAGCAGATGCGTTTCTGGCGGTGTTTATCATTTTATTTCGTTTTTATATCTCTTGGTGTCGCATTTGAAAATTTTTAATTTTTTCAAACCTATGATGTTATAGAGCTTATTTCACCAATAATTAAATGTGTCTACAAATATCTGTCAAAAATATTCACAAGCTAAAAGATTAAAATGGCGGCGTGTTCAAGTCTTGACCGCAGGGGCTGTGGCTATAGAATCGCTCATGAAAGGTACTGTTGTTTTGAAATAAACTGTATTATCCAGATAACACATCAACAGTAATTTCTTATCGATATTTTATTTTATTAAAAATAATCTGTGCTGCATTTCATTTTACTCGAATCTTCGATGGTTTTGATTTTAGTATTATTTTGAAATCGTTAGTTCGGTGGTCAGTCAGTTATTTTTGAGGTATCTTCGCTAAACTGAAAATGGTTTATTAAATGTAATGGAATAATTGCTGACGATTATCGAATATTAAAAATTTTGGAATAGTACAGAAAGTGCAAATATTTGATTTATGTACTATTAAATAATAAAGCAAGTAGTAAAAGTTATAAAAAAATCTTTGATTCCTATTTTATTTTGTTAATCATTTATGCATTAGTTTATTCTCTTAGTAAAGATTTTTAAATTTACGGCTTATATTTTGTGTGTATTTTATAATAGATTATTAATTTAAGGAAATGAATGATCTCTTGAATAATGAAGTTTATTGTGAAATGTGTTTAATGCAAGTGGTATTCATTCAATAATAGCCAAATTTAAATCTATGCAATACTCAGCAAAAGTATAACGATGTTAACATGCTATTAATTGACAAAAACAATGCATTTGAGTAATTCTTTATTTTGTTTAAATATGCTTCAAAAATATATAGATAATTATGTATCAGTGTATATATAATTTTTATAAGACAAATTATCTTTATATACATATTTTATTTCTCAATAATGTAAATTTGTCTATGAAATCTTTAGCATCTTCAAAAATTTTTCCACCTTCCAGTTTCAGTAATGTATTTCTTCCCTTCCTGTGTCATAGAGCTGCCTAATTATATACTATAATGATAAATCACTGTTTTTCAATCATCTAATTTTCATAAGTTAGTTTTTTAGTTGAATTTTATTATTACCCTTAAACTGTAATAATATTCCAGACTTTATAATAATTGTTCTTTTCCATTTATCTATGATGAACCAAAAACTAATAATATTTCCAACAATTAATGCTTCTTTTTTGTAGAGATATAATATTTAAACAATCTTATAGGTCAGCAACTTATCCAAATTTATTGTACATTTTAAAACTCACTTAAAAAATCTCCTTAAATGCATTTTTTTTATTTAATTTTAATTCTTTGATCTTGGGTTTGTTATTCTAGTTACTGTATTTATATTTAATGTGCTTTATAGTTTTATTAAAAAAAGGGTTGGACTATAGTCTGTTCAGAAAAAAGTGATAGTGAAAGTAAAAATTTATTTATCACTAACATTTAATAATTCGGGGAGATTTCCGTATTGTGATCTGTAACAGTATAATCACAGTCTTGGAACTTCTGGGGAGCAGCCCTCTAGAAACTAAAAAAATACAGCACCAAAAGGTACCAACTCAAAAGGTATTGCTCATAGCCTCCCCGGGCAAACATCTACATGTTTATTTGTTTTTTTAAAAAATTGCAAGTTTAAAATCTATTTGGTGATTGTAGTTGGCACAACAGACCACAATACGGAAATATCCCCAATCGTTCTTTATCTGTTCTTTGCTGAATGGATCATTTTGCTTGTTGGTCTTTTAAATTTTGATTGCATATTAACTTGCAATGTTGTCAGGCATATAACCTTTATAAAATAAGTATATTTTTTTTTACGCTGTTACCAAAAATTTTTTAAAAAATGGATTATGTGCACAATTTGAAAAAGAAAAAAAATCTTCAGAGAACTTTATTTCTTTCAATATTTATATGCTCTCTTAATTTTAATAAGGAGAGTATTTCGAAATGTTTTACTAAAAAAAAAATTTTCCTTGTTTGTCAGCATCCAACAAACAACCAATAGCGACCTGCTGCTTTTACTTTCTCTATTATCACTTCTCACTGAACAGAGTTAATTAGTAAGAAAAGCCTAGTTTATATTTCGCATATGTTTTAATTTCCTAATTATGATTAATACATTTCTTACATGTTTTCTTACTTTTTTTTACTCACCTCTTTAACTTTTTAACAAACAAAAAGCGTAATTACACTTATATTAGACTATGATATTATAAGCTTAATATTTAATGATCATTTCAACATATTTTTTGCATTCTAGACCATTGTTTGCCTATAGCCAAATATAGTTTTCATGCATGCATAATTAAAATTTCTAATTAATGTATGTTCCATATTTCATAGATATTGTGTTAATGCAATCTGTGTTTTTATTTCATAATGTAAATCTTAAAATGTGTTAGATTTTACTTCTATTTAATTTAAGGTAATTTTTAATCTATATCAAAAATTAAAATTTTACCTTATTTAAGAAATAGTATTGTATAAATATGAACAGTAATAACTTTGTGCTCGATAAACTTTCGTAACCAAGGGTCTAAAAAATCCAGGGCATTACAGCGCCTAAAAGTTGTAGTTTGTGTCTAAAATGTTAGTAAAATATTGGGTGAATAGATGAAAATTTGATACTTCCAATTCCATAATGTGTTAGCTTCTAGATATTCTGAACTTTTGTAGACCACCGAACTTTCATAACTTAGTTCTTAACTTTACAAGCTTGCATATCAATAGTAACTTGTTCTCCATTAGTGCAATTAAATAATTTTAGTAAAGGAAAATACTCTAATTAATCATGTTTGAATTGTTGAAAACCAGTTACTCTAATGGGTAAACTATCAAGCAAAAGCTTCTTTTTTTTTTTTAATTAAAATATTTTTCTCTCTTCCAGTTTAAAATAAGAGATCCTGAAGACGGAAGTGCGACATATTCAGAAAATCCTTATATTTGGCATCAAACTCAAATTAATTCTGTTATACCAGAGGATCCTGAATTTGAATCTAAAATGACAGAACCTCATATGTAAGCTTGAACTTCATTTAATTTGTTTTGTCTTGTGTTTTATTATTGTAAAAAAAAATGATTTATGTTTTCCTATATGTAAAAGGTATTATAAATGCAAGAATGTGATGCAATATTTGTGAAGATTGTTAAAATTTAGAATATCTATATTAGCTATAGTATATTTTTAATGTTTCCTTTAACTTGGCATTACCCTTGCGGGGAAAAAAATAAACAAAGTTACTTGAGCAGAATATGTCATACACAAGAGTGTTTATTCGGTTTTTTACCTTTAAAATAGCTTGCAAAAAGTAAAGAGAAATACATTTTTATAAACAAATATTTAATTTTTTACTTACATTCATTTTGCAAATACATGCCATGTGTTCAAAACTTCCAATATCCTTGTCACATTTTTCTCAAATTTTGTTTTTCGATCTTTTTTTTATTAGGACACTCAGTTAATCGTTTGTACGTTGCTGTGACCTTTTTCATAGATGGCGTGATATCTCCGCTAGATTTTTTTTTTTTTTCTGGCTCATACTTATCTTGTATTTTTTTTATGAGGTGAAATCCTCAGTTTTTGAAAAAAAAGTCCTGTCTGGTTTGATATTGAGTTTGTGGCTTTTTAGTTGATGACAAAATAATATGTGAATTTATTGTGTAAAGGTTCAGTAATNCTGAACAACCGAATTTTATCCGACCTGTATTTTTTTATGAGGTGAAATCCTAAGTTTTTGGTTTCTGGTTTGATATTGAGTTTGTGGCTTTTTAGTTGATGACAAAATAATATGTGAATTTATTGTGTAAAGGTTCAGTAATGCAAAAAATATTATTAAAAGCCAATGATGGCATTTTCTAGCTGAATATATAACTATTTCATCAACCACATTGACTGCACCTTTAGTTAAATTATAGAATTGTTATTTCAGGTTTTCTTGATTCTTTAGTAGATAGATCAATTGCATCATCATTGTGCATTGTAGAAAGAAGAATATTCTATTTTTCTTGGGTAACGGAATAAATATTCCGTTATTGTTAGCAAAATTTAATTGTAGTCTTATTAAAAAAAACACAATCCATCCTTCACTAGCAAAACAAATAGAATTTTTATAGGCTACTGGGAATTAACTCTATTTTTAGATTTGCTTTACTTTATGAATTTTTGATCTTATTCTTTTCAAAAAATTGGACACAAATATTTTATTATAATTAAAGTTAGAAAGTAATTGTTTACTGAGTTTTTGATTTACTCTTCCTTCTGCAAATATTATAAAAATAATTTTGAGTTATATGTTTAAATACACCAACTAAATTAAAAATGTGTAGTTAAATTTTTATTTTGTATTATATTTTCCGAGATTAAAAAAATATGCAACCAAATCTCTGAAGTAAAATATTTTGTTTGAGATCCAAAAATTTATATTTCCTGTGATGAAACATAACTACAACATTGGATACCTTTTGATAATATTAATAGTAGACAGAGACAAAGTCGCTTAATTTCTGTTGAGCTTTACAAGAAACTTTAGGTGCTTAAATATTGTGATGGGTACATCACTATTTATAAAGTTACAGAATTAGTTTAAATATCATGTGTTTAATATTTAGTTTTGTTTTTCCATTGAATTCAAGAGCATGAGATAAAAGTAAATAAATTAGAAAAAGCACTTGTATTTACTAAGTCTGACTAAAAAAAATATGATGAGGTGGCCAAAAAAGTAATAAAATGTACTACTGCTGTACAGTTTTCCTACTTAAATACATTTAACTTTAAATAAAGTACTATTTACTTTTTTTGTGAGACTTAATTTGTACTGCTTTTGTCATACTTTTTTCCTCTTATGTAACATAAATTCCCATGAATATGTTTAAATAGAAAATTCTACTTTCCAAAATGAAATAGAGTACTTAAGTAAGTTCTTGTGCATATAGCTGTTTTGAATGAATCTTGAATTTCATATAATTTCTTCTATGAATTTTATATAATTTCTTCTATGAATTTTATATAATTCATAGTTTTTATTGTTATTCACAATTTTAGTTTCCTTTATTATCCACATATTAGACTAGTTTTCATCCTTTTCTTTTGCTTGCAGTGAACTTACTAATTTTTTTTCTCACTTAGTAATTTACACTATTTATAATTAACTTTTGTAACAAAGTTGCTCTGATTAAAATGTTACTCTAAATTTTGAAGTGATACTAAATTTATGCATATTTTACAAGTTAATATATTTTTTTTTTTATTTATTTCAACATCATACTGATGAGGGAGGTATCATGCACGAATTTCTTAATAAAGTAAAAGAATATGAGCAACTTTGTTAACTGCTTTATTTAGCCTTCCTAATTCCACCTTTAGCTGCTAGCCCCTTATTTACCCATGCTGCTTCTCCTTTCCCAGTGTCATTAGCCGTACTACGGAATCTACCAAGGAACAACAAATTCTTCGTACTGAGCAAATTGAGACAATGTTAAGGTTTGTATGCCTACTCGGAAGATTTAAATATTGAATGTTGCATGGTTGATTGCTTTCAACTTTTGCTTGTGAACCAACCAACTGCATGCCTAATCTCTAATTTCTATAAAATTGACTGTGTTCTCTTGTGTGTTTAGGCATGATTTGTTCTAACACTCTGAAATTGTTATGTACAAACCCTATTTTTTTTTAATGTGAATTCTGTCTTTCATTTCTTAGGCATTATTATCCTGACCATGGAACCAGCTTGCCAGATTATTTGTAAGTATAATATGTTTACCGCATGTACTGTTAAAGTTTTGAACAATTCCTAAATTTGTTAGAAGGCTTAGTTTCATAAATCTCAATACATTTTATATCCTTTAAGTTCAAATTATAAGACTACAGTTTTATGTAAATTAAACCGAAGACTAAGTTCTGTGCCAAAATAACAATGGCTTTTTGCTAAAATTCTCATTTCATTTGTTGTATTGTTGTACCACACTAATCGTGTAATCTGTTATGTTAAACTATATGATCTAATGCAAGTTAAATATATTATATAGTACATATTGATTGTTATAATTTATATTGAATTGTATGTTTTCTTATGTGTAGGTTTCATTGTCAATACATTGAAATGAATTTATTGGCAATTAAAAATCTAAATATTGACTTTTTATTGATGATTAGATGTTTAGTTCTTATAAGATAAGTTGTTAGTTTACATTATATTTTGCAAAATGAAAGACAGTCTTAAAAATCTCTTATGTCCAAAATGTGTTTTGTCTCACTTTGAGTGCTACTATAATACCTGTTAATAAAAGCAAAGCACTGTTTCACATTTTCTATTGCTAGTAATTAAAGAGGCAGAATGAAACTTAATAAGTGATACATTATGTATTAAATATTAAAATAAAGTGATAAACAATTAAAAGTATTCGAATTAAGTATACACAGTTGTATTCTGTTTTTGTGAAATTCTGCTTAATTGGATGGTTGCCTTGCTTAAATATTGCAAGTATTTTACAGTGTTCACATTTCTTTTAACAAGGGGCAGAGTGCATTTTTTGAAAAGTACCTTTTTTGTCTTGTGAAATGCTACTTCCACTGGATAATTTGTCATAAAATAACCATTTTATATATATATGAAAAAATTGGTTTAAGTCTACAAAAATTCATTAGCCATGGCATTAGTTACATCAGAATCGAAGCAGAAATGACAAGCAGATGCCGAAAAAATGATCTATAAACGATGTTGATTTACGGCAGAATTTGGAATTTAAACGTTGTATTAAATCTTATGAAAATATCCACACAAAAAAAGTATAAAAACCATTTGCAAAAGACCAATAAAATTATAAATAACTGTCGAAACAACCATTAGATTTTCCAGAAAGTACATTTTCTAGTATTATAGAATCGACATAAGACTTACTGAACAACCGAATTTTATCCGACCAGGGAAAATTATAATGCAATTGCTACAAATCAAACGTTCTGATCATCGTATTAAAAATATTGGAATTGAAAAATAAGGGGCTGATAAAATGATGAATAACTGCTGAGAAACCTATAAAAACTGGCATGGAACTGTGATAGAATTGTCACAAATTGAACGCGTCAAATGATAACGAAAAATGCATAACATGAACATTGGTTCTTACGAAACACACAAAAATAAATCCAGTGTTTACATCACAGAATTAATTATACAATTTGACTTTTTTATTGTTGTTCCTTACTCTCCTGTTTCTCTCCTTTTTTTTGTGCTATGAAAAGAATGCTTTATCTTGAAAGTCTTACAAGATTCTGCATAACTGAGAATGCTTCGGTTCCATGCTTTTCCACATTGATACATGTTTCGTAACTACATATGTATGTTAATGAATCTAAGAAAAATTTACTTAGTGTTCCAGATTTCAAGTGATAATATTTTTAGTTTTGATTCTAGATGTTTTTTAATACATTTATATTTGGAGAAAATAGTTTCCTTTTAATGCATGCATATCTTTTTCGTTTGATGAGTTATCTTATATTGAATCTACTGTTTTAGGCAGGAAGGTATACCTGAAGTTCAAGAATCATATAGTATGAGTTATCAAACTTCTACTTCTACAAATGGACATCATGGTGATGTGGATGCCTCATCAAATAATTCACAATCTTCTGTACCTGTAGATAATGCATCTTTAATTAGTCGTAGCACATCAGAAACAAAGACACAGCAAGTGAGTAACAATTTAGATTTTAAAATTTTTCTGTTTCTTCCACTTGGTTAAATGGTATTCTTGTAAGCTAAAGTTGTTTTATAAACATTTTAATATTTCTGAATTTACTTAAATATAGATTTTATGTTCAGTATAATTTCAGCTAAAGCTGATATTATTATAATTAAGTATCATATCAGACATACAATGCATTTAAAATGTGAAGTTTATAAATCATTAAATCAATACTTCTGTTTAAATAAATTTTTGGTTATAATTTCTGTGTAAATATAGTTAAAAATTCAATACAAATTATATTTTTTAATTAAATGCTGTGCTAATAATTTGAATAATTCTTGTAAACCGTGGAATTGAATTAGGCATTATTGTTATTAAATGTCCATATATATAGCAGGGTTCCCACAGTCCTTAAAAACTACTTAATTTTGGGCAAGGTTTTTTTAATTTTTCAGTATCACTATAAGTGATAGGAATTATTTTTAAGACAAAATGTCGTTCTTTTATCACCTAGAATTAGACTATGTATCGAGAGTAGAGCTTTTTAGAGAGACAGAAAGGGATGTGTGTAAGAAGGCTACAGGCAAGGGAAAGAAAGCATGTCCTTTCATTAATAATATTCTCCCGTTTGCCTAGACTGATACTCTATGAAAAGAGTGAAGCATTCTAAAAGAAAATAATAGAGTGTAGACAAGGGAGATACTGCACACGAAAGAGATTATGCTTTTTGAGGGGAGGATAGCTCTAAGGTACCTTAGTAGGAGACCCACACTGACCTTCAAAATTAACAGAATTCAAGAAATTCAGTTCTACTGATAACACATCTCCTTATAGGAATGAAGTAAAACCCTAAGAAAAGAAGTATCAGAAAGAATTTTTGAACTAGAATCTGTAATGAAAACTATATAAAAAATCATGAAGAATTAAATAAATTTGTATAATATTTCAATGTGCAATAAGTAACTGAAATTTATAAAAAGCAGTAACAATTTTAAAATTCATGATTGTACTGAAAATTAAACAGATCTGTAATAAACCGGGTTTGAAAAATCCCATCCCTCTTAGACTTTATGTGAAAACCTAGGGTTTTTAATGAAAACCCCAAGTTTTTCAAAAATATTTTAAACTTTTATTCCTGAGTGCTAAATAAGAATGCATGATTTGCTTCTAACAAAAAAATTAAATAATTGGTAACTATTTATAACTTGTTTTATTTTTATTTCTTAAGGATAAGCAGATTGTTACAGGAAAATTTAAATTTACTCTATTAAAAGATCCAAAACTTTTCGTTATTCATGTCTATTGGAATAAAATAAAAACTTAGATTTTAATAATAATTTTATTCAGTTAACATTGCAACTTAATATACTGCTTTTTTATATCTATATGTATATAAATTTCTATTTAACTTTTGGTTGCTTTAAATAAGTTCATGTTTTTGCCAGATTATTTTGGAAGAAAAAAAAAGCATCTCAAACAAACAAACCTCTTCTAAAGCTAGTTAATTTTTGTGATATAAAATTAAATAAAAACTTAAACAAAAAACAATTGTTTATTTATTTGAAATAATTTATCATTCAACGCACCAGGAAAATGCCACTGACTAAAATTAAAATCATTTGCAAAAAATCATGTGCCTTTGAAATTAATGAAGGTAACCTCTAACTGCCAACCTCCATCAAAAACCATTTTACTGTGGAACAGAAAGTGGTCGCTCCAGGGAGGTTTTACTGTACTATAAAAGGAATAACTAATTTTATATAAGGAATCTCTAAAACTTTCAAATTTTTCTCGAAAATGACTGGCTGGTGTGCTTTCTTATTAGGGGTATAAGTATTTTGATTAGGTGTTATATTTTAAAATATGATTTTCATAAATCTCAATTCAGACAAATCTCATTAATTTCAAAAAAAAATTCTTTGTTTTTTCAGGGGTGTCCCTCTTGCTTTTGTCTCGGAAGAAAGATCTATCATGGATCTTCAAATAAAATAATAGATTAAGAGAATAAAAATTATTTTGATATTTCCTGTAGAATGTACAATTTTACTTCTGTTCCAAAAGTCTCTTAATTTGTTATTTTAAAGTAGTTTTAGTTATATTTGAACATTATATATCTAGATAATATATATCATTATATAATGTGGGGTTCTTAATATGTGTCACATATAAGTTGTTTTTTTTTTTCCAGTTGTTTGTTGCTGAATATTTTTGGTATTGTTTTGCAGAGAATTCATACTTCAGGGTGTCCAGCGATCGGGAAAACCGGGAATTATCAGGGAATTTTTTAATTATGGAAATATCAGGGATATATCAGGGAATTTTTCTGAAATCTTTGTAAATCAGGGAAAAGTATTCAAATAGCCATCAATCGCCGAATGCTTCAAACCGCGGCGCTACCCTTCGTAATGGATGACGTCACAAACAAGTTTTCTTTCCCGTGCGGTAAGTAGCTGTGGCCCAGTAGTTGCTGACGTCATTTCCTACCCGATATCGTCACGTGGAACCTCCCAAGCAGCTTTGCATCTGAGTCAAAAGGATCGTGCATGTGTTCGCCTCTGTTTCTAAGGAATTTTGGTAAGTTCTTTATCTTATTTTTTTTTTAATTATAACTATTAAGCATTTATTTAAAATTATCTTAAAATATTTGCTTAATTTCATTTTTAAGGTCTTATATACGTAACGTCATTAAGAAATAAGTTCTAAAAAATTTATAACAGAAAAGCTATTTTTTGTCCTTCCGATTGCGCAATATTGACTCCGCATGGAAGATTTTTGTTCTTGCCCCCTAATAACTTATTTTATTTTCAATTTAATGAACTTTATTTTATTTTTATTCCTATAAATTTGTGTTTTTTAACTTATTTTCGTTTACGGCAGGTTGATTTTTCGATAAACTGAATTTATAATTTTCGCGTGATGGCATAATTCTTTATTTAATTAATATTCTTTCTGAATTTCTTTCAGCAAATTTTAAATATTTTTTTTTTGTTGATATTTTAACTATAAAAAAAAAAGTAAGAATCTTTTACGAGTATAAAATGTAACTCACGGCTTTCCATCTTCGTTGTCAGGAAACTGACCAGTTCTTAAAAATTAATTCCTACAGCCGTTAATTTTATTATCTCTAATATTTAAATATTCATTAATTTAATGAAAGGGGGATTAATGTTTTTTTTATTTTTATAATTTTCAAGGACTAATTTGACGATTCGCATGCATGACGATTCGATAAGCATGACGATTCGCTTTCCTGCAAAACTTAAATCATTAGTCAAGATTATTTTTTTGCAATTTTTAAAACTTAAACTTTTCACAATTCGTGCTCACGTAGTTTTAAAATCCAGCTTAGTGATACGTATTTACAGAATTTTAATAAATAACACTCTGAATGAGCAAAGAAAAAAAAATTTTTTTTTTATGTATTGAAGACAAGGAAAAATTTAATAAATTCTTACATGAAACCATCAATATTTTATTTACTTTTAAAATTGTAAATATGCGTTTAATAATTTATTGTTGGGTTGACTGGTTTAAACCATTACTCAAACCACTGTTTAAAACTTAATGTTTTTTTTTTTTTTTTAAATCCAAGCTTTGTTTTTTTTTAACATACTTTTTGTAAAAAATTAATATTTATGATAAGATATAAATAGTTTTAGTTTCAATAGAATGAAATGAAGTTTTATTAATAAATACAAACAATAATAATTAAATGATTTCAATGGTAATGATGGTATTTTACTAATGCATATAAGAAATGCAGTATGCCTGTAAATGTATTCAATAGCATATTTCTTTCATTATTTTATTAGAAAAAGACTATTGATTCAAATCAATCATCATTTTTTTTTCTAAAAAAATTATTTTAATAGATTTTTTTCTAAATATAATTTAAAAAATATATCAATGATAATGATGCTTTCTCCAGAGAAATATAAAGAATATACATGCAAATTAATATTTGCATGAATGTTGCTTTCATTATATCATTAAAAAAACATTGATTTAAATCAACAATAATTTAAGAATATTAGAGTGGTATTAAACAAGGGATATACAAATATCATTTTATGCAATGAGTAGTCCATTTTATAGTAAGCAGCATAGAAAAAGTAAATGATTCTCCAAAGTACAGAGTTTTTTTTTTTTAATTCTTGCTATTTCTTTAAAATTATACAATACACACAATATATGAGCATTATATTGAATATTTATTCTATTTGCAGATAAAACAATAATTGTATGACTGCTCGGTTCCAAGTGGATTGGCTTCATAATCCAGAATTCAAAGACTGGGTTAAGGAGGTTGAATCAGATATCCATAGAGCAAAATGTGTTTCATAAATCTGTTAGGATGTCTGAGAAGGATGTAGAATTATTTCAGCTTTTATTTCCAGATAGCGAGATTGCCAAAAGCATTAAACTAAAAAAAAGTAAAATAGCATATTCTATTTTATATGGTATTGCTCCATATTTCAAAACAGAACTAATAACAAATATTTCGAAATGCGAGTTTTTCACTGTTGGATTCGACGAATCTCTAAATAAGGTTTCCCAAAAGACTCAGATGGACATAAATGTAAGATTCTGGTGTAATGAGCAAGAACTTGTTTGCACCAGATATTTAACTTCCGCATTTTTAAGTCGCACCACAGCGGACGAAATAAGGCGCAATTTTAAAGAGGCTTTGTCGATTTTGAATATATCAAAAATGGTGCAAATTTCTATGGATGGCCCAAACGTCAATCATAAATTTTTTAAGGATTTAAAAGCTGAGATAAGAGATGAAAGCCAGGACGGCCATCCAATCATTCTTAATATGGGCAGCTGTGGATTGCATGTTTTACATGGAGCTTTCAAAACAGGAATCAGGATGACAAATTGGTCATTGATTCAGTTTTTGCGGTCACTGTACAACCTATTTAAAGGTGTTCCGGCACGTCGTGCCTTGTTTGTACAATATACGGGCTCGAATGTATTTCCAATTAAATTTTGTCCTGTACGATGGCTGCAGAATGGAGATGTTGCACAACGTGCCATAGATATGATTCCCCACCTGAGGAAATTTATATCTGGAGTGAAGCTGAATAAAGATAATTTACGGACTGAATCATTTATCAATGTTTGTGCAATTATTGAAGATCCTCTTTTAGAGGCAAAACTACAATTTTTCAAGTCCCTTATTGCTGAAGTAGAGCCGTTTTTAGAGGAATTCCAAAAAGACGCCCCACTTGTTCCATTTCTCTATAGTTCTTTGCATTCTATTTGCCTAAATATTATTAGTAAATTTGTTAAAGATAATATCATAAAAGAAAATTCCTTACATAAAATAGATTTTAGCAAGAAAGATAACTTTTTACCTGCAGATAAAATTGATTTAGGCTATGCTGCACGCAATGCTTTAAAAAAGAGGAACAAAGAAAAGAAAATTGCAGATAATGAAGTGTCTCAATTTCGAAATGATTGCCTAGCATGTTATAAGTCCTTTGTTTCAAAATTATTTGAGAAATCACCATTGCTTTATCCACTAACTAAGGCAGTGACATGCTTCGATCCAGATGTGGCAATTGTTGTCGATTTGGCTTCATTAAGGATTAAGAATTTACTTACAATTCTCATGGAAAATGCTTGGATCGATGGGCCTACAGCTGATAAAGCTGAGCGCCAATATAAAAGTGCGTTGAAGCAAAATCTTGTTATAGAGTTACTTAAAAATTTTAATAGGACTGACAGTCGTGTCGATGTGTTGTGGAGAGATGTGTTTAAACTCCTCAAAGATCACCATGAAATCTCCAAAGTAATGAAACTCACCATGAGTTTGTATAACGGTAATGCAAACGTTGAGAGAGGTTTCTCTGTAAACTCTCAATGTTTGATAGAAAATTTAAAAGAAGAGACTTTGATATCACAAAGAATAGTATACGATACTATTATTTCCACTGTAAAAAATGTAAATTCGTATAAAATTTCTAAACCCCTTGTGCACTCCTTCCGAAATGCCCATTCATTGATGAAGGAAGATACAAAAAAACGTAAACTTGCAGATGAGGAAAATTTGGCTATTGAAGCCAAAAAGAAAAAAACAGCAATGATTAAGAAAGAATTGGAAAAAAAAATTGCTAAAATCAAAGAAGATGCTTCGAAGGAAATTAGTAATGTAATGGAGCAGATTGATTCTTTGTGAAATAATGTGAGAATAAATGTTTTTGTGATACAGTGATTTCTTGTATTTGTTTATTCAGTGTTGAAGTTATGTAACATTTTATGTACTAGGAGAAATATAAGTTTGCAGTACTTTGTATAATATCTATTTTATTTCCAAATGCATAATGTTTATATGGTTATATTATAGTTATAGGTTATATTACATTTTAGATTATAAAATTTCTTATTATTAAAATTGAAAATTAAACATCTGCCCGATACAGGGAAATTCTGGGACTTACAGGGAATTATCAGGGAAATATCAGGGAATTTGATAATGTCTTCTCACTGGACACCCTGTACTTAATTACACTATTAAATTTTAGGTAAAAACTGTGACAAAAATTATCAAAACTAGAGAAGTACATCACATAGGCCCTCCAGATGGAAAAGCTATTAGCTGTTCTCCTTATGGTACTAAATTGCCACCAGGCAGTGATTATCTACCGTACAATTATCCTGGAAACCATGAATATGGCACTTATGATCCAGGTATGGCATTTATTATCCAAATTTTTTTAACTTTCATAAATTACACTGTTAATAATTAGGTGAAACAAAACTTAAATAATTTTAAAAAAATAATAAGAAACTGTGATATTCTTATTGCATCTTTTAAATTCTATAATAAAATTATCCATAAAAAAAAAATCTAATTAGCTACTTATTATTTCTTAATTTCATATTTATGAGGCAGGTTCCTTTAGCTTTTATGAATATAACTAGTAGCATTTTTGTCTGTTTGAAACCTGAATATAGAGCAACCGATCCACTTAATTTGCTTGACTGTTTGGCCAGGTCACGACATTTTTCAACTTACTATCGTCACATATAAGTTTCTCTTTTTTTTTCTTTTTTTTTTCCAGTTGTTTATTGTTGAATATTTTTGATACTGTTATGCAGGGAATTTATACTTTTTGAAACAAATTTAAAATTAAAAAATAATACTAGTTCCAATGTGCATAACTGTTCTGCATCCTGTTTTTTTAGCTGTAATTTGTCTGTACTACCTAATTTTAAAGTTTCAAAATTTGCATAGGAGCAACTCTCATTTTGGTATTTTCAAAGTAAATCCAAGACAGTTTGATTTTTTTTCTCTATATTGAGTTATGTATTAACAGGTTTATAAATTATATTGTTATAGGTCGCCCTCCAAGTCCGGCAGGACAGACACCTACTCAAGTATATGCTTCAGATTATGCAACATATGCAAGGACTGCTTCGCCTGCCTCAACGGGAGGCAGAAACTTTGAAATTTATTCTCCATCAACGTGTCAGCCATATTCCAATTATGCTTATCAAAGTGTAGCAACTCCATCTGGTGCTTCAGATTCTCCTAACCTACATAGGGCTATGCCTCAAGCACCACGATCAGTTGCAACAGACTATAATCATCAACCTGGCAACTATGAAGAAATAGATGGTGCTGCATTAGTTCCTAGATTTGTTGATTATAGAAGAACACCATCACCAACGCAAAGTGCAGATAGATATGGTAAGATCAAAAGATTTTTATTATTAATTTCAAGAAATAACTCTCTATTTTCAGTATTCTAATTTTTTTTTCAAAATGAATCTTTCAATAATTCTATTCTTAATAGTTATTGCCTAGGTATAATGAATGTTTCCCTTAATGATATCATTAATAACTGCACTTTTACTTTCTTTGCTTTTCATCCTTAAAATTTTCCGTTCCTTTGTGCAATGTCAGGTGATAAAGTGGTCAGTCATCAAATTAAAAGCTAAGCTTTTTAACAAATGTTAGAATTAATATTAGCTTTTTAGTAATTGTGATCTAAACTTTTAGAAAAGTATATGTAAGCCAATTTTTTACTAATATGAAGTAGTAACTTTTTGTTTATTTATTCAGCAATTAGATATTGTGATAAATCATTTAACTTCTCTTGTAATTTACTCCGTGAAGTTTTCCAATGCTGATAAGATAGGACTATTATGCATTAGCTAGGCTTCTATGAGAAAATGCAAAATCGTCGAGAACACCATGATTTTTTTTAAAAAAAAATTTTTTTTTGCACCCGGATCAGAGTAGTTGATCCACCTGGAATTTTTTTTCCACCTTGCTTACAATGCACAATGCTTACGCCCTCAGCAGATGCTAAAATGCCTGTCACTTAAATTTTTATGAAATTAAAGAGTTTTAGGCAGGTAATATTTTCGTAATTGGTTAGAATTAAGTGTTTTTCACAGCTTTCTTTTTGCGAAAAATCAACTGGTGCATTGCTAGTGGTCCAAAACAGAAGATTCTTTCTTACTTCAAAGCTTCTTTTTCGTAGAGAGAACATGCATTAGCTTAACTTTAAAATAAAATCAGATCAACTTTGAGAGATGCAATTTTAGAAGAAATGAAATTCACGAGACACTTCCCTGTTATATAAAAGAGCCACTCTGAATAATTCTATTGTTAATAAGTATTTCCACGTGTTTTTCAATACAAAGGCCGATTTCTCTGCCTACTGATATAACCTGTGTAAACTTACCTACTTTCTGATTTCTAGGAATTTCTGTAAAGGGGTAAACTTTTCATTTTCTTTTGTAATCCTTTTTCTTTCTTATTCCTGTTAAATATGAGGGAGAAGGAGGTATTGGTGTCAATTAATTACTACTGACTACAACCCATCTTGTTACCACCAAGGATAATTATTTTTAGCGTCATTATATTATGATTATTTCTAAATAGATCGAACAATTATTGTCAGTTTTGAAACTTCTGCCAGTACACGTTTGGTATTAATAAATAACTCTTTTAAAAAGTTTATATATAATAAAATAAATCTCAAATTTTAAACAATTTTTGCGTGGCATTTTGAAAAGAATTTCCAATTTTTGAGGCGAAAAAAGAACTTTAAAAGCAAGCCTAGTCATAAATTATAAAAGTTTTTGTAGAAAATATTAATTAGAACTAAAAAATATATATATTCTAGTTTTACAAAAGATTTCTTAATTTTTGGTTGCAAATTTTAGTGAATATTATTCAATGAAATATAATTTAAGGTACTTATGGCTACTCAGCAACCATTCCAGCTACTTCCCCTGGTTACCACCAATATGATCCAGCTCTTCCTCAAGGTTACTTAGACCGACGGCCAAGCTTTGATGAGCATCCACAAAGTCAGCTATCAGCATCAACATATGGTGTTACAAAACCTAGGTCTGGGTATGAAGAAGAAAATATTCCCCTTGTTGCTGGAGAGAGTATACATGCTGTACCATCAAGGCATCCTCATCTTGATTATACACCTGTAGATAATCAAAGCAGTGGTAATAATTTAATTTCAAATAAATTAACTACATAAATTTTATAGTAGATTTTCTTCCTCATATTATACTTTCTGTCTAACAAGAACGCTCGTTTTTTAACTGGAGCTTTGGGCTAGGGGACAATACAAGTTTCAATCATGTCCTGACCACAACACGCTGAATTGATAACCAAATAGAATTTGTCATCAATTAAAATTTTGTCCACTGCAGTTCAGAGTTCATTTTTCAAACTGATACAAGTAGAAATCTTTGTTCAAAATTTTGACCTCTTACCGACTAGCTAAAAACTAATTTTAACTGTGGCTTTGAGCTGGGAGATAAAACAAGTTTCATTCACTTCCAATCAGCTAAAAGCAAATATGTGTCAGTAGAAATGATGGTCAAGTCTGTAGACATTGTTTATCTTGTATTTAAGAAACTCAACTAATTTGAGAATATGATCTAAATCAGTGCTCCCTAACATTTTTATCACAGTGGACTGGTTAATGTTTGATAATTTTACTGCAGCCCGTTGAAGGGGAGCAAACATTGATTGCCTATATATTAGATTGTTTTGATTTAATTTAATGTATTTAAACAGTTCTCTGAAACAAAATAAAGTTGCATGCCGATATTGGTGCGGCTTTTGGAGACTCTCAGCTTTCCTTTTATCTCTCATCCATAGAAAGAGTAACAAACACAAGCGAAATGCACCACGGTAAATAAAATGGAAATAATTTAATGTTGCTTCGACGGCCCGTTTCCATTTCATTCATGAACCGGTCTTGGAGTTGGGTGCTACACATCTAAGCCACTATGATGGTGTCATTACTTAAACTCTCTAAAAGTTATATACAAACTTAATTTTAAGTTTTTCTTTTTTTTGAAAGAAAAATTTTTTTTTTTAAATTTGTATGTGAATGTTAGAGTTTGAATTTTTCTTGACATGTTACTTGACTGATCAGCTTTTAGTTTTTAATGTATCATTTCAAGCTGCTAAATTTATAACCTCATAATGAATTATGTTAGTTAAAAATTTCTTTAAACTCCTCAAACCTCATGCTTTAATGTTTGACAGGATTTCTATCCAACTTTCATTAAGATTTCATTAGTTGGCATTTATGAAAAAAATATTTTTACCTTAAATGTTGTTGTGGAGTTGTCTATGTCAGTGTTTAAATATTTCTAAAAGTTAAGGGGATTGAAGATTATTGCCATTGCCTCAGAGAGATTAGACTTCTGATTGTTTTATTGCAATACTTAAGCTATCGATTTAAAAAAAAAAACTTAGCTTAGTAGTGATTAAATTGCATAATTATAAACTGTTTAAATTAATATACTTATAAAATCTTTTAATTTAGATGTTCGATTCCGAGATCCAGATGTTCATGAGGTCATAGAATTTCTATCTCATCCTAATAACATTGTTCGAGCAAACGCCGCTGCTTATCTCCAACACTTGTGTTACATGAATGACAACATGAAACAGAAAGCCCGGTAATTACAATTTGTTTTCTTTTTGTCTTTACTCTGTAATTATTCTATGTGAGAAACATGAAATTAATTATTATTATTATTATTGTTTTCCTGTTATTGAATCTGTGTTTAGGAAAAATTTCATTATTGAATGCATGGTTAGATTACTGCTAAAAAATTTTTGACTGAGCTTATTTCATTAAAAAGTGGACATAGAAGTAGACATTTTTTCTATTACCACAAGTAATATTTTAAATTATAAGTTTAGACTTACAAGTCTTCCAACTTTAGCGTTTTGGGAAAATTTCTTCTAATGTTAGCTAATTTTTTTTTTTTAAATGTAAATTTGATTTCAAGTTGTTTTCCACACGATTACTTGTAAATGATTCACAAATTGATAAGAAACACCACTCTTTTCTAGTTCTCTCTGGGTAAGGCTGTTAAACTGTTGACAAAATTATCAAAAATTCTGAAAGCTTTTAATTTTTAGCTGTCTACTGTTCTATAAATAGTTTGCAAAGCACATAGTTTATACCCCAACCCCCCATAATCTATGAAATTATATCAAATTTTGTTTTAAAAAATTTTAATTTCTATTATGTATTCTATTTATAAGTTTAATCTATTTTTAGCAGTATTTGATCTAATAAAAATATAATATTTTATGCTGGTTTATTATCCATCACAAAAAAAGTACTTGATGTATTATAGCAAATCCATCTTTCCTTAGAAAAATCTAGGAACTTTGGTTAATTTATTAGTTATTTTTCTGAGGTAGTTATATGTATTGGAAAATGTATAGTAGAGACTATATTTCAGAAATCTGCCCTGATTAAATGTGTTTTCTTTTCTTTTCTAGAGCTCTTGGGGCTATTCCGCCATTGATAGAATTATTTAATCAAGATATACCAGAAATTCAAAGGAATGCTTGTGGGGCTTTGAGGAATATTTCTTATGGAAGACAGAATGATGAGAATAAAGTAAAGAAGAAACTTGTCTCAATAATTTGTACTTGTTTAGTAAAGGATTTTTATCATGAATGATATTCTTATAATATTACTCAATACTGACTAACTTTCGCAAAACTTTAAATTTTCAGATAATAATAATTATTGTACTATTTTTATTGCTTCATATGAACTATCAATATATAATATATAAAAGTCTGAAAACAAATAAAACACTCAGCTGTCAATTCTTTTAAATACTTGTGTTTATGACATTTACATAAACTTGAGTACAATAAAATAGTTTAAATATAGAATTATATATGATCAAATGCATTTGGCATTATTAGATTTGAAAAGATTTTTAACATTTTTCATATATGTTCAGTGAATATATGTTTTCAATGAAAAATATCTTGGTAGAAATCCTTGCTCTATTTTATTAAAGAAATACCATTTTTAACAATTGACTAGTTTTGAGATTTTATCTGTAGTTATTTTATTTTAAAATGTTTTAAATTTCCTAATGAAGATTTGTTAAAGAATCAAATATGAGCTGATAGTTTTAAGGCAAGGTATTAGAATGATACAATGAATCAGCTATTTTTTAATTTGTAATCATATCTGTTTTGTTATTTGTGAGGGTTTTATTTCTTTTTAGCGGGCAATCAAAAATGCTGACGGAATTCCTGCTCTGGTTCGTTTACTAAGAAAAACACCAGATAATGAAATTAGGGAGCTAGTCACCGGAATTTTATGGAATTTATCTTCTTGTGAAGTAAGTTTTTTTCTTTTTCCATTGAAGAATTTTGTTTTGATATCATTATAATTTTAAATATTACTAATAATTTTTTTAATAAATTGTGTAGTAGTTTAAAAAAATTTTTTTTGTTTATATATATTTATGTTTTATGATACTGTGTAACATGAAAAATGTCCGAATATGCGTTTCTTGTATATTTTTAACTAAAGGTAACCAATCTGCAGTTAATTTTTCTTTACTGCTCGCCATTTTCTCAAAAATTTGCATTTTGGAATGGCAACATAATATTTTTTTTAACATAACGTAATGAATTTACAGGCGTGCAAAAATAAAAATTCATTCTTATTGACAGTGAAAACTTCACCAAGTTGATGAGATTTTATCAAACGAAACCTTATCTATCTTTCTAAGATTTTGAGGCTCTAAATGCATTAGGAAGTAAGATATATAAGAATTCAGGGGAAGCTTGACTACTTTTCTCCCACAGTATTGGTGTGTGACCATTGAGCTAACCATTTTGGTTTTCATGTATTAACCCCGTTGAAATTATGCATACCCAATTTACATGTTATGCATACCCAGGATTAACCAGATATATTACAGTATAAAAGTCATATTTTAAAACTGTTCATTTTTTACTTATAAACATTTGTTTTTTCAAACACATTTCTTTTTCCAGAATATTGATGTTTTATTCTGTTGTAATGTTATCAAGAGTCATTCCTAGAGCCTTCTCTGCCAGCCCAAATTAAACTAGTAAAACTCTCCAGTTTGCTAGTTTAAATTTTAAATATTTCTTTGGTTATGAATCCTCAAAGTATCACCCAATGATTTATTATCAATATAGCAATATGGTCTAATTTTTGCATTTTTAAATGTTTAATTTTTTTTTTACCTTGCTATTTCTTTAATTTGTAATGTATCATTTTAAATTTAATTTATTATTTTTTGTTCATATTCTATATTAGGATTTGAAACGTCCTATTATTGATGATGCCTTGAATGTGCTAGTGAACCATGTTATTATTCCTCAGTCGGGATATGATAGAAATATTCCAAATATATTTTTACATGAAATCAAGCCTAATGAGATTTACTGGTCAACAGTTTTCAGAAATGCTAGTGGAGTGTTACGGTAATATGGCTTTTCTTGAAATTTTATTAGCAATTCTTAATTTCTATATGAAGTGTCGTATATGTATTTAAACAGAGGGCATAATTTTATGCCCTCTACATGCCATTTAAACAGAGGGCTTGATTAAATGAACCTACGATTCTCAACTTTTTCATCAGATTTATTTGAAGAATAGCTTGCTTATTTGTATTTAGAGTGCCTTATATTGTATATTACTCTATTTTCCTTATAAATATTGCCCGTAGTAAGCGAAGTTAAAACAAGGTTCTCATAGGGTAGCCTGGAATTATTAGGGGTTGTGATTTTATTTCAATTTAAAAAAAACTGAATTTTTATATATATTTGAAACATAAAAACTCCTCTAACAAACCTGATAAGTCAGATAATGTTAAATAGAACAAACTGGGTTCATGTGCACCGGGAAAATAAGATTCGAGAAAAGTCAGGGAATNAAATTCAGTCGTTGAAGTAAAATAATTATATTTATTTGCGATTTTCAAAGATAAACAGAAAATTCAATCTACGCCCTAGCTGCTAATCCTTCCGCATTTTTACTTATATTAACTATTTTCTCCGATTTCGCGCACAGAAAATAAGATTTTCCGTATTTTTTATCCGTCGGCTGGATAGCTCTTATTTTCGTAATTCAGACGTCGCTGCTTCTTGTATTCTGACATGAAAACAAAACAACAAAAAAAAGAGAACAAAAATAGAGGTGTATTTGCTGTGAAAATATTTATTTGCTCATTCAATTAATCTTGTAAATTTTTATTTATTATATCTAAACAAAAACAATACAAACAAGCCTTTTAGAAATCCCAAGTCCAGACTCTACAAATATCTTGATTTTTATTCACGCGATTTTAATATCAATCATCGATTTTCGTATTTACCTGATTTAAAAGTTGCGCATTGCGATTCTTATTTACGAGATTTAAAAATCCAATATCGTGTTTTGTATTTATGCATTTTTCAAATCGCGATTTCATTATCAAACCTCGATTTTCGTATTTACCTGATTTAAAAGTTGAACGTTGCGGTTCTTATTCAGGCGATTTAAATATTGTACATTACGATTTTTACTTACGAGATTTAAAAAATCAATATCGCGATTTGTATTTACGAGCTTTTAAAACCCTATGTAGCAATTTACGCGAGCTTAAAATCCAATGTCGTGATTCGTTTTTGCGGTTGTAATTTCGCACGATTTAAAAATTATGCATCGTGATCTAAAAATTAAAAAATCGTGATTTGTATTTTCGCAATTTTTTTAATTCGATGTAGATATTCATATTTACGTGATTTAAAAGCCTCATATAGGGATTGATAATCACATGGTTTACAAGTTTAAAAATCACACTTTTTTGTCAAATTTTTGTTTATATATATATATATTTCTTTTTTCTTGGATTTCCTCTTTTTTACTTTCTGACTACTCTCATACCTGGTTCATGTGCACCGGGAAAATAAGATTCGAGAAAAGTCAGGTAATTGTCCGGGCAAAGTGTAACTTTACTCCCGAGACCTGTCTGGAAATTTTTATCTCTATCAATTCTTGCAAATGCAGTATTTCACGCTTTTGTTTGTAGTTGCGCTAAAAAATATTAAAATTAATTGTCCAGCAGACAATCACTTTGTACTATTGAGATTTTCTTCTATGTTAGCATTTCTGAAGATTCGTGAATCATTCAAAACTATTCTGTCTTCACATTATAAGAATGATGCTTTAAAAACAGTAGTAGAGAACAATAAATTAACGACAAACCATTGGTTGACTCTAGATTTCTATTTGCATCTCCCTCTGGAATCTAGCAAAAATTCTCAAACTTTCAGACATTTCGAATGACAAACTACATATTAGCGTTTTTTTTTCCTAAAAGACTTTTGTTTCCTTTCTACACTGTTTTCTTTGCTTATGACGCCTACCTATGACGGACATGTCGTTGGGAAGCTGATGGTTTTGGTGCATTGTTTAATTTGTAGATCAGTATCGCAATTCTAGAACTTCAGGATCGTTCACTAATAAAGTTTTTCATCTATCAGACAGTTGATAACAGAGCCTCAGCACTAAGTTACTTTCATCTTCCTTTTTGAATAAACATAAAATTTATTAAAAATTCTAAATTTTGTGAAGTTTGATCGACATGACTGTCTCTTAATTGCGTATAATATTAAAGTTTTTCCTAATGTATTTGGGTCATTCTCACTGAAAAGATATAAATAGACTAAAAAATTTTCTTAAATTAAAGTAATTAAAAAAGTGATAAAAATTACATAAATGCCTTTATTTATTTTTGTTATATGTCCTTATAATAATGGTCAAGTTTTCTATTTTATTTTTTAGAAGATTTAAAATATTTTAAATTCTGCCTTGTCCACGGAGGAGATGTAATAGTCAACGGAGGAGACATTTTATGTTATAAAATATAAAATGTCAATGAAGACTAATTCATTAATTATTGGGCACAACTGATATGAGTTTAACATTAATAAGTAAATAATAAAATATTTCATTATTAGAGATAGAGCTACTTCCAATTAATCATGCTGCTATGAAAGGAAACATCCGTTTTGAACCTAGGTGTACAATTTTTTAAGTAACTCTTACTGAATATTAATAAATTAAAGTGTAAAGACTATTGAAATAAAAATTCAGACTCCACATGAAAGTTGAGTGTTGAGGGTACTCTTTTATGAACATTATATGCAATGAAAGTAAACATACTGTCATCCAAATAACATTTTTGTTTTTTCTCTTTTCTTGTTATTGCTTCTTTTTTCCCTGGGCACAAACGGCTTGTTCTATCAATTTCTGGAAATTCAAGTACATTTAATCACGATTTTTCTGTTAAATCTTTTTCTGATACAGATTTTAAAGTTTCTTGCTCTTTTTTTACTTTCTTCAGACAATATAGGGTTTTCTTTTAATTTCTATCTAGCTTGTCTCATACTAAGTTTCTTCTGTTCCCTTCTCTTTTGCATTTGAACATTTGATTGCTTTCTTTTTTTACATTTTGGTTCTGCATTTTTTTCCTAAAATTTGAAGAGAAAAAAATTTTAAATATCACTGAAATTATTTAGAAAAATTGCCAATATTTACTTGTCCGATAAAAAAAAAGTTAAACTTAATTGATTTTCTTTAAGAATACAAAAAAAAATAACACATTTGTTCAATTTTAAAAAATATCAATTAAAAGAAAATAGTTTTTTAATTATTAAAATTGTATTATGGTTATCTAACACATTGTCTCTTCCATTGACTGTGTCTTCTCCTCCGTGGACTTGTTATGTCCACGGAGGAGACAAAAACTAGTTCTTGAATTTTACTGATTTTTAATTTTAAAGTTACAAAAATGGGGCAGTTCTTTTTATTAAATATACTATTTTTGCAATCTAAAATTCATCTATCAAAAATAAAATAATTTTCTCTTACCTTCTTTATGATGTCCACGGAGTATACGGTGAGAACTTTGCCAAACCCCAGTTGAACACAACAATCCAAAACTGACACCAAAGAGAACAAAAACAACTGATAGTTAACATTAGAAAATGGAATGGTTACCTTTCCCAGCAGCTGTCTTATAGGGATTTCACATATGCTGTCCTTTATTGCATATTTACCGAACTATATTAATTGTCCATGGAAGGAGATTTCATTTTTGATGGACAAAGTTTACTAGTCATTTATTTTATAAAAAAAAATAAATTTTTTTGAGAAAAAAAAATTAAATAAAAAGTTACTATAAACATTTAACTAGGTAGAACTACAATAATCATTAAAATAACATTTCAATTGTTTAATAGCCATTAAAAATTATTTTGTGTCACAGACATAGGGACGTCCACGGAAGGGATTTTGAAGTTTTGTTTATTAAAAAATAAGAATGAAATATTAAATACATTTAGCAGAAATGCATATGATTCGTTAGTTAGAACTTTTCAAAAAATGATGAAGAAAAATATTAAGAAATCTGCTGTATTTCCTAATATTTATTACTAAGGGACTTAAAAAATCACCTTTTTGTGAGAATGACCCATTTGTGATCTTACGAAATTTTAGTTCTCTGGAATTATTTTATGAAAAAAATTTAAACTTCAAATGAGTTTTCAATTCAGTACAAGTATAGGGGCCCTTCACTTATCTAATATTTTAAGCATATGCAGCAACAAATTTTATATGAATTAAATTTTATTTCAAAAAATTGATATTAAAAATTTAATGATCGCAAAAGTGTAAAACTAAAGGTTGGTGCTATTTGTGTTCTTTTTCTGGTTCAAAACTGTTATATATCTTTGACTTGTTAAAATTGTTCAATTCTTGTTATCGTCAAATTTATTTTCTCTTTGTTTGTTATAGTAATGTCAGTTCTGCTGGTGAGTATGCAAGAAAAAAGCTGCGGTCCTGTGAAGGCTTGATCGAAGCTATGGTATACCTAGTGAGATCAGCTATTGGCAAAAATGACATAGATACAAATTGTGTAGAGAATTGTGTATGTGTGTTGAGAAATCTGTCTTATCGACTACAAGAAATAGAAGATCCTGATTATGACAAGCACCTTTACCCCACAAGTATGCAGTCTCGTGCTAGTGCTCCCTTGAAAGGTATATTTTTATTATCCTTTTGTTGAGTTTTTTTTTCAGAGCGGATAAAAAGAAAGTGTATGATTTGAATTAAATCAATATTTTTATTTTAATGTAGCTGTTGGAGATCATTTAGGATGCTTCGGTGGTACAAACAAAAAGAAAAAAGATGCTACAGAAAAAGAAAGAAGAGAAGCTGTTCCTCTAACAAAAAATCCTATTAGCGAGTCTGATCCAGCTAGTGGTTTTGCTCTACTGTGGCAGCCAGAAGTTGCACAGCTATATATTTCCCTTTTAACTGAGTGTTCAAATCCTGAAACATTAGAGGCAGCTGCCGGTGCAATTATGAATCTTGCTGCTTGTTATTGGGAAGTAAGTACAGTTAACAACCTTTTTTCCAAAATATTTTTATGTATAATAAAATGTAAAAATTTCTTTTTATTTATTTGACCGATTTCACATGATTCATTAATGTGATATTTTGCACATGTGTTAATAGTTAGCTTTGTTATATATCTTGTTTTGTCTCTTTATTTTGCCTACTGTTTTTGAAAGTACAAAACTGTGAAGAAGTAACCATTTCTTGTTCTTCCTTCTTTATATTCAATATTTGGACATTTATAATGTCGCAGTGTCCGACTTTTCATTCATGCATAGCTGTCAACTCTACTGCATTTTCCAGTAGACTACTGGATTTTGCCAGTTTCTCCTGGTCTGCTGCTTTAATTAAAATCCTCCTGGTTTTTGTACATTTTAGAAAAATCCCTAAAATTGAGTAACTTTCGTAAAAAAAAGTTCCCTATTGAAATAGAATTTTTCTACACATTATTGCTTGTACACATTATTTAAATAAATATTACTAATACATAATGAAGCAAAGCTTATTTATAGAAATTAGTTCAATACTTTGATAATAACTGTTTCAAAATGTTCAGTTTATTTGGAAAATATTGCAATTTTTCTTTTTTGATGACTATAAAAATCCCTGAAATTCCCTATGTTTAAAATATTTAGTACATTATGAAACAATTATGAAATTTATATTTCGTAAAATTTACTACATTTTTTCCTATCCAAGTTGGCAGCTATGTTCATGCCATTAGATGGAAGTTTAAAAGCAATATAATTTCATATGATGTAATTTGGATAATAATTTGGTGTAATTAATGTTAATTTGTTTCAGAATTTATCGTAACAGAACAATGTGAAACTAAAAAATCTTTATTTTGTATAAGGCACTCTGAACTTTTTCCTGCTGCTATACTACTATAATAATTAGTGATTTATAATTTCTTATGGGGCAAGAAGAGTGGTTTTGTGGCAAGCACAGAGTTGATTTAACTATTGAACCAGCTTCCTTGTTTCTGGATTCATTTGCTTACAATAATTTTTCCATTTTCATTAAGATTGCTAATAGCTTCTTTGCATGGTACCAGGATTTAAAAAAAACTGGTGGGGGGGGGGCAAGACAGTGTATTTTTCCAATTAAAAAAGTATTTAAAATAAATTTTATGATAAAAAGGAATAACATTAATAAATGGGCGGCATAAATATAAACACATATAATACTAAAGCTATATTTTAGTTCCAATGGATTTAATTTAACATAATGGAGCTATAAATATAACAATGTTCTTATTGACATATTGTTGTATTAATCAAAAAGTACTTTGAATATTTTGAATATGGATTTGTTTATTTTTTATATATAATATAGTATAATATATAATCTAAATATATAGTTTTACCAGAATAAAGGTAAGCATAATGCAATAAATGTAACAAATATTATGCCTCTTAAACAAGTTTATAAAAATAAAGTTTGAGAAGCTTTAATTTATTTTTTTTAAACTACCACACGATTAGCTAATTTGGAGCATGGCATTAGTGATGATCTATTTTATTTCGGATATTCTTAAGAGACCTTGTGATTTGATCTTAAATTTGCTCGTATTAATTTATTTTAGAATTTTTGTGCTAACTTAAATTCTACATAGCCATTTAAAAATTGCAGATTTATGTTTATTTAAAATAAATGAATTCTCATTTGCAATTAAACTCAAAATTTTAAAAAATGTGAGAGAACCATATTTTTTTATTTAACCCTATTCAAATAAGGTTATGTCAATACAAATAATTTTACTTATCAAAAAAATTTAAAAAAGTAAGTTTGCTTTTAGCCATGGTTTAAACCAACCAGCCCTGCCCAGAACCTTTTCAGAAGAAGATTAATGTTTCCTATTTACCAAGGTTTAAATTGCAGCTCGAAAATCATTGAGAAACACAATGTTTTCTTTCATAAGTTTTTAATGCATCAGCAGCAAAAAGCACTGCAGAAATTTCCCCATCCCATGTTTTCATTATTGAATCAACAATTATACCAAAACATATATAAAACAATGTTTTTTTTAATCAAATAAGTGATACTCATTTCTCATAAAGTTGTTTCAAATAAATATAAAACAGAAACTTTCATAAATATCTGGACACATGAAAAGCAGTATAATGCATATTTCTAAAACTGTGGATTCTGCTTAGACTTTTTAAGAACTTAAGTCAATTATAAAGAGATTTCAAAAAATATTCAATAATAATAATTTTAAAAGAAAGTCAAACTATAGTGAAACTGGGGATATGGTGAACACTCGGAGGTACTGTATTTTTTTAGTGGTCCCGTCTGTACTCCTATTCAAATAAGGTTATTTTCAACGCTTATAGTGAGCAGCTGAGAACTTGGAAATTCGGTTATAGTGAACACAAATTTCATTTCTCTAAATATCTTTGTCAGTCTTCCTTCTTTAAACTTGCAGGTGTTGGAACTGAAAATGAGTGCATTCTGATCTATAGCTGAAGTAAAATGAGCCATAAATGTCCTTAATCAGCCATAAATGTTTTTTTCTGCAGAAAATGTAGATAAAAAAAATCTTGCATTCTTGGCACATTATAGATAAGAAAATTGGTGAACTCTAAAATCGAATTGTGTTCAATTAAAAATCACAAATTTTTTTTCATAAAAGTGAAGTTAAAACTAATTTTTAGCTACATAAGTACTTTTTTCATTAATTTTTTAATAACTTATGTAAAATTGCCAACCCAATTTTCAATCATTCAACTGTCTTTATGCAAAAAATTTGGATATAGTGAACCATCGTTTATAGTGGACTCATTACTAAGTTCGCAGACGGTTCACTATAGCGGGGTCCGACTGTATTTTTTACTGAAAAAATATTCCTTTTTAGAATACATAAGCATTCTGTTTTTGTTTTGCCTGTTTATAAACTTAAATTTAAATCATTAACTCTAGTCAAAACTTAGCTTTATACTAATTGTTGGAGAATTATTTTACTTTATTTACAAAATGTTGAGTTAGTTCTCTTGGGAAACCATTAAAATATTCAATAAATTTTTATTAGAATGGTACTAAAGAAACTGTTTTTGTTTACGTCCTGTTGAAAAATTTGATTTTAACTAAATATGTAGTTTGTCATCTGTATTTATGAATTTTCTTATCTCCCTCTTAGCCCAGTATAGACATTAGGGCAACTGTTCGAAAAGAAAAGGGTTTACCTATTCTGGTTGAACTGCTTCGGATGGATTGTGATCGAGTAGTAGGATCAGTTGCTGGAGCTCTCCGAAACTTATCCTCAGATGCTAGAAATCGTGATTTAATTGGTAAGTTTTAAACAGTAATCAAATTTTTAATTCCCCTTTAAAAAATGAATAATTCAAATGGATTTAAGAGAATTTTTAGCTCAATCTAATTTTTAATAAAATATTTTAGCCTATGGTACTTAATTGTTTCAAGCTACAAGGTTAATATTTGTAGTAGATTCTTCAAATATCTATATTTTAAGTTTGCAAATTGTTGCTGGTCACCAAAATTTATATAACTATTTTTACATCTTACTATAATAGAATTAACTAAAAAAATTCTATATTACATTAGATACAAAGTTGGTTTATATTTTGGACAGATTTTGTTAAATACAAAAGTATTTTTAAAATGTGATAAACTTGTTTGACTTATGAACTCATTTGTATCCTAGTAATTTTTAGTTTTGCAGCTCATCAATATAAATTTCATTGCTATAATTTAATGTTTTGGCAAATCATTTTATATGCTATATTTTTATTTATAATATTCTAATTAATATATTCTATTTCAAAAAGGCATAAAAACTTAGCAAAGTATTTAATTTTTTTATATATTTTTTGTGTACCTTGTTTATACAGTACAGAACCCGTTATCCGGAAATCGGAAAACCAAAACACTGGAACGAAATTCAATAAATTTTCCCGCCTTTTTTTTTTTTTAAAAAAAAATTTCCTCATAAGATTTTAGGATTTTTCTTTCTTTTTTGAAAGATGTTTACCTTACCATCATTTTGGAAATAATCATCAGTGTATTACTTATTTCCAAAAAAAATTTTTTATAGTTGGGTTTAACAATTAAAAAAACGGCTTTTTGTAGCGATTCAGAAAACCGGAAAAATCAGTTATCTGGAATAGTGATGGTCCGGATAATCGGTTCCCTACTGTAATTTGATTTACTTTTAAGAAAATTTAAGAAGTTCATTAATTAATTAAGCAAATTAGTTAATTCGCTGATTAGTTACTAAAATATATATATAAGAAAACTGGTAACATCTAACTTAATTTTATGCCATTTTGAATTATTTTATTATTTAAATACTTGTTTTGAAGGTAAATATCTCTTGTTACAACTTTTTTTTGTGGAGTAATAGGCTTTTAGCATTAAATTAGTTCTCTGTATTTTTAAGAGCTAATTGTTTTAAGAATAGAAGCTTTCGAGTTTTCTGTTCATAAAAACTATTTCCAATTGAATATTCGATATAAATACACTTTCTGAATTATATTTTAGATTGGTAACTTTTATCAAGTTCTGATTAATGTGATTTTCTGTCAAGTTCTTTTTTCACAAAAATTTTTGACAATTCATTTTGAAATCTCATTGTTACAAAACTGCTAAACTTTGGGAATAACAAGTATACTTGAAGACCATGTCAAGAATTTTAGTATTTAAAATATAACTTAATAACCTTAATATAAACAATGAAAAATGCTTCTTATCACATATGTAGACTTATTAGGCAGAATTGAATTTTTTGAATCTGTTTTAAATGACTTTCTTATTTGCTTACAATTGTATTTATTTAATATTTGTTTGCAATGAATATCTTATCTTAAAAACTAATTTCTCATTGGTAACAATCAAGCCTGATTTGTAACATCATTCTGTTTTGTCTATGATTGTTTTAAGTTTAATGCAGTTGAGACATTTCTGACTTTTACCATTAAAGTCATTAGTATTAGTCATTTTATGGTTATTTGACAAATTCAGTGATGTCATAATTTTTTACTGCCTATCCTCTTTTGATTTCTGTTGTGTATGAGTCAGTGAATTTATTGTTCTCATAGAAAAACAATGATGCTTCCAAAGTTCTAAAATAACACTGTGCATCCCTTGTAAAATGTAGAACATAATCACCTGACATACTTCAACCATGTAGTGATCAATTTATTTGACTTGGTTTGATTGATCCTTTGGTCTTTTGGGGTACTCATTTGTATCTATGTCAATATAGGAGTCTTTTGAGTTGTCCATGCTCTTCTAGATGTGATATATGTTAAGATAGCTAATATATATGCAAATCTGCAAATCATAATAGCTAAAGTTAATTATTTTTTTAGATAATCTTATTTCATTTGTTTAATTTTTTAAATGAATTCTGCTGCACTTTACTTTCAGCATTCTGTTATTATAACTATAAAGATCTCAATTGTAGGTAATTATGCATTAAAAGATTTGCTTCTCAAATTACCAAATGGATCACCTCAGCATGATTCTGGGACTTCAGATGACACGATCGCCGCTGTTCTTGGAACATTAAATGAGGTGATTGCCAAACAAACTGATTTTGCTCGATCATTTCTGCAGTTGGGTGGTGTTGAACGATTAAATCAGATTGTTCAACAGAAAGGAACTTATTCTCCGAGAGTGGTTAAATTTGCTTCTCAGGTAGATTTTCAGTTTTGTTTTTCTTGTTAAATTTTCTCCAATATTGTGAAATGTTTTAAAATCCTTATAAATAAGTTTGCTATTATCCAATTTATAGTTGCTGTATAACATGTGGCAGAATACAGAACTTCGGGATGCCTACCTAAAGGCTGGGTTTAAAGAATCTCATTTTGTACCTAAGTCAATAGCAGTTAGAAATTCACTTTCATCTCCTACTGGAGCAAATAGCACATTGAATCGTCCAGTCAGCACACAAGGTGGAACAAAATATGAAGATCGTACTTTGCCTCATGGAACAGAGCTAAATTCAACAGCAGGTAAATAAAATTGTTTTTGATTTTTTATCAGCTTTTCATATAATAAGTATTTTGCTCTAATATAATTTGATTCTTTCTTTCTTTTCAGCATCTATTCCTTATAGTAGGGTAAGTTAAACAATCTGTTTTTAATATTTTGGTATTCTGTTCTAAGTATTATGTGTCTAAGAGCTTCAAATTTTTATTGAACTCAATTTGTTCACTTTTTAGTCAGAAGAATTACCGTTAAGTGAACTAAGCCATAGCACAGAACCGCCTTCCCAATCTCAAGCTCACAGACCACACATGGGTGTGTTTCCTCCTGGAATGGTAAATTTAGTCAACTGTTCATTAGTTACCTGAATTATTAAACCTCTTTAGAAATTTAGTTATGTTAAACTATTATCTAAAATTTTAAAAAAAGAAATTAAAATTAATTTATTTTAATTCATTTTAAAATATCTAGATTGTGTTACATGTTTTGAAGTGTTATAACTTTGGTTAAAATAACAAAAGAAAAGATTTTTGTTTCATTATAATAAAATATATTTGTTTTAAAACCGCAGATACTGTCATTGATAAGATATTGGATTGCAAAATCAAATTCCGAAAATGGAATCATTACAACATAAACATGTTATAAACTTTTTTAAGTTCATGTGTTCTTCTTTGGATTTCTCGTCCAAATTTTCATTGTTATATAGTTTTCATTCTCGCACCTATGTTTGACACACACACTCCCAATCGCTCAAATTTAGAGGCTGAGCAAGGCATTAGGGTTAGTGTAAGATTGTGTTCGTTAGCATACCAATGATCACATATAAATTCTGAAGATGTAGGAATTGCAACTTGGCGGCACGTGTATAGCCTTTTTCTTTTAAAAGAATTGACTGTTCATGCTCAAGAAATCAAAAGTATGAAATTATGGGGGGAACTTAGATGGCACTTCTATTGAGTAATATCGATATCATACTTAGTATACTCATTCCACAAACTTAAGAATTCTAAGCAAATTGTTTTTACAAAAATATTAATCTTAAAAATAGGTGTAGACCCCTTTCTTTTTCCCTTAATTGCATGTGCCTTGTCTTGTCCGAGGCGTGCCTATGGAAAGTAGCGTGCGTCTATGGCGAATCTCGTACTGGCGTCCTTCCTAAAATATTTATTCTCATTTTTTTAAACAATGCAAAATTAAAGCATTGTTTGAAGTAATTAACCCTTTTGGCAATATTGTGAAAAGATTGCTTTGTATTTAAATAATAAATAAGAATTAACTATCATAAAATTATCTCATTTTAATGGTAATGCAATCATGTGTATTTAAAATGATCATTGGTTAGAAATAAAAAGTCTGTTTTATCATATGTATAGAAGAGTCTATTGTGTTTTTTCAGTTGTCAATAAAAAATCTGACAAATTAAACAATTATATTTTAAAGTTTTGCAAATATAATTTGGTAACAAAAATACCCACATACAACAAATGTAGCTCTTGATTAAAGAACTATAACACAACCTGGTGCTTTCTCAATATTTTTAAAATTAAAACTGATTTTTTTTTGGAAATTGATTTTTTTTATTTTTATTTTAAGTAATCTTGTTTAGCTGACATTGAACTTGTCGTAATATAATAAATTTTTTAAATATAACAGTGTAAATAATTAAGATTTGTTATGGCAATAAATAAAATAGCTACAATCAATTTATGTATTTTGCTTCATTTATTTACTATTTAATTAAAAAAAAACTATTCTTATCTTTTAATATAATTAAGTTTTACAAGCATTATATAATATCAGATAGTAAGAAAAAATCTGCATATTACTTACAAAACTCAGACTAAGTAGTGACAATAATACATCTTTAATGGGAAATAAATTTGAGGAAGTTGACATTTTATTTTAAAAATATCTAGAAGTAATTAATTTGCTAACAGTGAAAATAAAGCATAAAGTAAAGAAATAGACCGGAATATGAAAAATCCATTATAAAAATGTTTCACAATGGAACAAATTAGAGATAAAGAAAAATAAATAAACAGATTTGAATTATAAATTTTTAGACATTTAGTGCACAAATAAATGAACCACCCTGAATAACTCTTGATCTAATGATCAGTTCTTCACTTTCCAGGACTCAATTGTTAAGGTTCATGGGGGGTCACCTCAAACATGTTAATTAATTAGTGCCGGCAAGTTGCAAAATTAGACACTAAAATGTACTTACTGAATAAACATACCATTTTTTTGACGGATTCGGATATATGAACCTCAAAATGGTCCTCATTGTTTGGACAAAACAGCAATTGAACCTCTTAATGCTGATTTTACTTTTTTCGTATTTGCCAGAGCTACAGCAGGCCACAGCTAGCTAACAATTTTGGGGGAAATATAGTAGTTAGATATAAAACATTTTACTAAACAAAGCATATTTGCCGTCCTTAAACATTCAGTCATCAATGTCGACTGTGCAGAAAATATACTGTGTCGACTGTGTGTGTCGGCATGCCCTGTGCAGAAAATATATAAAGCAAACCATCTTCTTAGGGGGGAAAAACTTGTTCCCTCCCTCCCCATAAATTTCTTTCAGGCTACGCCTATGTTACAACTCAATGTTAATTTTTGTCAACATTAAAATGTGCTTTTTTTTATGTGAATAAGTGCAAAAATAGCCTTTTACTACATTTTTGAATGGAGCAAATTAGTTAAATAATATTCGTAGTCAAATTACTTAAATCAAGTATAGTTTTGTAGAATTTTTGCTTTTGAAAGTCCCAATTATAAATAATTTGAGCAAATCTTCTAACTTGTTTTCTCTTTTTTGTTCTATAGTAACACTTTTTGTTTTGATAGTTTTACTATTCAATAGCTCTTTTTGTCACTATTTCCTATGTTTTTTTTTTTTTTTTTTTNTTAAGAAGAGGGTTTTTTTTTTTTTTTTTGGTTTTTTTCAATTTTTTCACTTCTCTTTAATTTATTCACTTCTTTTTCAAGAAAATTTTGACCAATTAAGGAATTTCGTAATGATGAAAAGTAGTATTCAAAGGCGGGTGTATAATAAGGTCGCTAATTTAAAAACCCTCTAAACAACCTAGGTACCGATTCATCTTTTGAACTCAAATATATAAATATCTACTAAATTGCGTTAGAAATTGAATTAAAAATTTACTTTTGAATATTTTTTTTATAAATGTTATGTATGTTTAGTATTTTAAGTTGAACTTGGTAGCTATGGCATTATTGCATAATGTAGTTACCATTATCTCATGTCCGCAATTATATTATAGATAGTATTAGATATGTTAATGTTACTTTTTTATAAAAGTATGTTCACTAGTTGCATTACTATTTGTATAAATTGCCTTATATGCTTAATATTCATCCTGTTTTAGCCCCCTCATGGGTACTAACTTTTCCTTCCTTTGGAGCTTTCCAATTGAATGGTAATGGTTAAATAATTATTGTGCATGACAAAGTTTCTATTCTTTTTTCTTTGCATGCTTTCTTATCTGCTTGGTAATTACCTTAAAGCCCTTATTTTTTCCTCAAATAAAAATGTATTGTATACTAACAAATATTTGCTGATTCTAACTTAATATTTATTGTAAATATCTGTATTTCTAGTTACTGTGCTCAAAACATTTTGCTTTGAAATTGTAGCTTTTTACAGGTTTGAGGAATCAACGTCAAATTACAAACAGAAATAGTGTTTTTGAATACCGTATGCCGAAAAATGTAGCTATAAATTTGAGGCTTGTAACTATTACTTTCGTTACTATATGCAATAACTGCACAAAATTCTGTATGCCTAACTTAAATATTTGAAATATGAACATTTTTATAAAAAAAAAAAAAAAAAATTCGTCTCGCTTTTTTTTTCTTGCTATAACTTTAAAATAAATTCTAGATGAGTAACATACCCTTTGTATAACTCTTTAAATATTTATTTTAAGGAGTTGGATGTGTACAACTAAGCTTGTTGCTGTTTCTTTAATGATATGCACAATGCTCAGGATGTTACGAATCGGTTCATGGTGCAACCGTATTATGTACTTCGTATGTTATGGTAGCGTTGTGGATGTTCATATTATTTATTCTATCAAGCAGTGGTATGCTTGTTTATTTCTCTTAAGGTGTAACGTTTGCTAGGAAACCCCCGTGCTTTGGCGCGTATGTATTTTTGCCTTCACAGCCATTTGTAAAATAGTCATCTTCGTATTAAGTTGGAAGTAATTTATTGTTCAAACTGCACAAATGATGTATTTATTGCTCCTTCATCACTATGCCTAAATAACTCTGCTTCCAGCAAAAAGAGAGAGAGAGAGAACAACTTTAATTACTCATATTTTGTGCAGTCTTCAACAAGTTTTTTTTTTTTTAATTTTAATACAATAGTTTTGTAATTAATTTAAAGTTGCTCAGAAAATTTTGTTTAACCTTATTGAATATTTTTATAGTAGCAAAAAAAATACATAAAAAAAATTAGTTTTTTATAAACATGTCCATATCTCCATAAATATTTAAGCTAGATTTACGGAATTTTGTGCCATTATTACATATAGTGTAATTTCCTGATCCAGTAATTTCCTAATCCAACATTTTATACAGAGCCTGAAGAAATAAATCTTAAAATTTTTGGTACAACGACATTTTTAAAATTTTTGTTTTGGCTTCTAGCAATTAATGTGACTTTAATTTAATCTCATGAACTTGCATATAAGATTATGTTTGCATAATGTCCAACTTTTCTATCCATAAAATAAATTTAAAACAAATTTATTTCAACAGTTGAAAAGTATGAATTAAACTTGCATTTCAACTCTAGAAATATTGTGCTCATCCTTGTGTATACAATGTTTTTTTATGGTAAAGTGCTTGCTTCTAAAAAGTGTTGTTAATCTGTGGAAGATATACATCTTAACTTTTTAAAACTATTAATGTGTTTTATTTTGCCATAAAGAATGTTTAAATAAGTGCTTTATGATCTTTTTAAACAAATATTTATTTTTAAGTGAGGTACAACCTCCGAACTTCTAATTACAAGAACTTTGGATTCTCAAAAAAATTCCATTTGTTTTTCATAGCTATATCAAAATTTAATTTTTCCAAACAATAGAACCCATGTACAAAAAAGAAATACTGATATTTTTTTCTGTGCTCTAGTTTCTTATTTTATATTAGATACACCTGGGGGAAAATGCAAAATTCGGCCTTTTTTAAAAAAATAATACAAGAAAGCCACCATCTTAAAGAGTTTTTTAAAAAAAAACTGAGACTAACTCTCAAAGGATTAATAATCGTGGCATGGCATGTTATTCCTCTCCTATTTGGTAAGCAGGTATGATGCTTTATTAATTTAAATTATAACATTGATTCTCTATTTAAGGAATATTAGGCAGGTGTTTTTATCTTCTGTTCCTTTGCTCTTTATCTTCTCTTTCTTTGCTCTTTAATAAGCAACAGGAAAAAAAATAGTTTCTTTTATTTCCTTTCTTTGTGTAACAGTATGGAGATTCACAACATTTAATTAACTCATTTGATGTTTATAAATTCATCTTTTTTTCTTCCCCTTTTAGAGTATTTTTTTTATTTTTTATTATAAGAAATAATTTTGAGCATCTGTATCTTCCATCTGACTCATTACCTTGATTACATAAGAACTCTTTCAAAAACAATTTCTTGGCCCATAAATTTAGTATATTAAGGTTGAATTTTCTTAAAGATGTAGAATTATATTACACTTTTTTTACAAGTAGTTAAGATTTTTAAGCAAATTCAATTTCATAGTTTATTCTATTTTTTCTCCTTTCATCTTTGAATATTTCTTTGCACTTTTGATTGTTTGCTGTTTTTAATATGTGAGTATCTGTTGCTTGTTGAAATTTGTAAGTTAATGACATTTATTTTTTTATGTTGACTGGTATTGTCACTTAGATTCTTTTTATTTATTGCAATGCATGTATTTTAGTTTATTTTAATGCATGGCGATGTTACTTTATTAGATCCAAAATAATTGCATTTAAAAAATCTATTTGAATAGGAGCAAGCACGTTCCCCTGCTGATCCAGTTTATGCTCAGGTAAACAAAAGGCGAAACAAAGAACAAAGGACTCATTCTGATCTCCCTAAACAGCAACTTCTTACCAATGATCAACCGGATGGAATGCCAGCTGGTGACTCATGGGTGTGAGTCCTGTTCTTGCTTCCTAATATGTTCATGCTGAGAGCTCATAGTGCCTGAGCTCACAAACTGTACCATCTTGTTGATAGAGACAATTAGAGAGTAAAAATTTTACTTAGAAAATATCTCTCCTCGCAGCTGGTTTGTTCAGTTACGGGTGATAGACAGTCAGGATGCGTGTCGTCAGTGGTGTATACTGGTGTTGCGAGCAATGAACCATTTTAAGAATGGTAGCTCGCTACGTGCCTCCTAATTTGTTTATATAAGTCAATAGAAATATATCATTGCTCCCACAAGTCTTGCCCATTGAAACAATTATTTGTGCCAACTATAGCGCTTATTTGCAGTCACAAGTAGCTCTAAAGCGCTTTCAAAGGAGTAAGCTTGGTAACACTTACATTTTCATTTTAACTTTGAGATTTGTTTACACATATACAGCTCAAAAATGACTTCAATTTTATGTTTGAGTCAGTGACATATTTCTAGGCTATCCTGCCATCAATCCAGATAGCCTTGCCTTAATACTCTACAGCAAAAGAGTGAATAAGGAACTGCCACTCAAGTCAATTCAACTTTCCATTTGAAAGTTCAAAATTTAAAGCATAATCTAATGGTGTGTAAATGTTAAAAAAAATGTGAAAATAGTAAGCCTGAGTATGTGTGCTATTGCATATAACTCATCTGAACCAAAATATTTTATGCTGGACCTTTTTGTTTAATTCATTTTGCAATATTTTACTAGCTTGCCTTTTAATAATTTTATTTTTAGCTATTTCAGTATTACCTGCAATGTTTTAGGAAGTGCATAAGTCTTTCATTACTGTTATGTGTTGTTTTTCTTTTCTACAAAAGTTTTACAAGTTTGTTGTACTCCATAAAATTTAGCATTACATTCTATGTAGTTTCATATTTCGTAATTCAAGTTTGGAGTTTCGTAGTTACCCATTTTCATGCACCATCTGTTATCTTCAATTCACCATAGGTACATAAAATACCAATTTTTATAACATAATCAAAGCATCATTTGGATATATCATCTGGTGGTTGAAATGAACAATTTGTGAAAAATCATGATACCTGAAATTCTATTCTTTCATTTGCAAGAAGGATATTTTTGAAAAATAGACATTTTATATTCAACTCATTATATTCTTTCACTGGTGCAAAATTTTGTATGTACTTTCTGTTATAAAATTGTATTATATGTAGTTTTCCTTTTCTTTTTGAATCAGTGAAAAGTTAATATGAAAATGTTGAATATATCTTGTTGGTTTTGATTTGACTCATGTTTTTGCACCAGCTTTGTAATTCATTTTATTTCTTGATAGCATTTACCCGAGGTGCTACTAAACATCAAACATGAAGAAAAACATCCCATTGGATTATTTTATGTGCAGCTTATGTATTATATTTACTTTTATTTATCAATTTGTTCTTTCGATTTAATATAAATGCATGATATTGTATTAAGTTATGTTAATGAATATAATATGTTCTTTTAAGAGCAGTCAAGTGTTTTGATTTTGAAATTGTATACTAATGAAGTTGACCTGTTTACATATTTAAGATGTTAAATTTTTAAGTCGTTTTACAAATGAAGTTGTGCATAATTCAAAAGTGTCAAAACTTGTCTAGTTGAAAAACTTGATTAATAAATTTTGTCATGCAAAGAAAGTTGTTTAAATTTTATTGAAATTAATAGATTTTTCCCCAATTGTATCATTTCTTTATCAGTGATGTGATAGACAGAGACTCCTATTCGAGGTACTAATGCAAAAAGTTCACTTTACATATAGATTACATTAAAAGAATTAGGAAACTTGTGATACAATATTTTTTCACAAAAAATCAGTTTTTGGAAATGCTGGCATAAATAAGAAAAATACTGTAATGATATAATAAAAGTTATGTTCTCAAACCTTTTTTTATAACAGTAGCACAATAACTTTCTTCCATTTTTATCAGATTTTACTATAACAACGTGTATAGTGCTAATGTAATTTCAGCTATAAATAAAATCTTTTATTACAAAACTTAACAAAATAGAGCTAACTTTTAGTGTATCACTGCCAATGTTTTGTACGAGAGACGGAATTAATTTATGTGTGGTCTTTAGTATGCAGGCCTGGGATTAATACAAACAAAATTGCATTTTAAAAAGCATATTTTTGTCATAATTTAAAAAACAAATTTTTTTTTAGTTTGATGTTTGGAATTTAAAGACAATGATTTTAAAAACCATTAAAATTGCATACATGGGATTCTTGCGACAGTTGGGTTCTTTTGCTTTGGCAGATTTCTGCCATTTTGAATATTCAAGACTACTGTGGAATCCCCTAATTTTATTCAATAGATTCAGTGTTTTTATACGTTAAATAAGAGGGGGAAAAAAACTTTTATATTTATTTTTAAAAAAAGCTTTCGATCACCAAAGCCTTTAACTTTTGAAAAGCTAGAAAAGGAGTTTTGAGGAATGTTAGAAATTTTGAAGATTAAACAAAAACTGCTTGCTTATACTATAAATTACGAGATTAACATATGTAATATAACAGCTGCAATATTAGAAAGGTAGCATTTAATCGGCTTGATATACTTTAATTTAATTGTAAAAATTTTAATGTATTTTTTTTTTCTAAAAATTTCACTTAAATATAATTGACGATCAAAATGGGCTACAGGTGGCATATCGTATAATTCCTTGCGGTATGGCGATGCTTCGCATGCTTTCACAGTTAGTGTGTGGATAGTCTTACGGGTAAGGAATACATTACTCTTTGCTTTTGTTTTCAAATTGATTAAAATTTTTCAGGTTCAGTAACTATATGGAACTGGAAATTTCCAAGTAACTGTGGGCAAGTAATTATAGAAAAAGTGAAGTTTTATAAATGTTAACGGGTCGCTGTCCAACTCTGTAAGACTGTGCATAAGATATCAAAATTGGTAGTGCATTTTTTCTTTTGTCTGTAATTTTTAAAAAATCAGCTGTTTCATTACAAAAATAGTCCCTTAATGATCTGATGGTAAACATATGGTTCCCAGTAGATAACCGAAGTCCAGCTTCTCTAGCAGAGGTCAATGAACAGGTGGGTGAGTTGAACAGACTCCTAAAGAACAAAGTGTGTGGTATCACTCCTTGTTTAAACTGCTCTACTGTAAGATTTGATTTATTGAAATTACATACATTTGCTGGCTTGTGTGCTCAATATAGGCTTATAAGTCATTGTCAAGTAGAAAATACAGATAGAACAATTCAGAGAAAGACATCACAAAGAATACATCCAGGGTTACGGCGGGATTCGAACCCGCTACCTCCACGCTTAACAGAGCGTTTGGACCGGCGATACCGCTCGGCCAGGGAGGCCCCTCCTCTACTGTAAGATGCTTGATTGTCGAAAAGTGCTACGAGATCTCTGCATTAGCTTATGGCTCTGTATTTCCATTAATAAAGCTTATGATTAAGGCTAGATTGATAACAGAAAGTTGCAATAAAAAGTCAAACGGTTTATGGCTTGGAAAATTTTGTAGAGGGGTTGCCAGACAAGTTCACGACATCGGTAAATGGTGGATTCTGAAGAGAGGGATTTGTAAAGTTCTTTACGAGCATTCTGGAATGAGGGACATCTGAGCAAGTGGTCGTTCCTGTCGACACCTTCGCAGTACGGACAGTTTGGGCTCTGTATCAGTTTGCACTTGTGTAAGATTGCATTAGTCGAGAGATATTTGGTTCTTAGTCTGGCTATTAGTACATTAAGATTTCGGGAGCTGATTACGGTGATCTTGAGATTTATCAAGGCAGTGGAAGAAAATGAAGTATTTGCAACCCTTCCATACACTGAGTTCTTTATTGAACGCTTTCTTAAGGAGTGATTGGCTAAAGTCTTCTGGTGATGTACGATGAAATTTTAATTTAGCGCTTGTTTTGAAAGTTGGTCTGCTTGTTCATTTTATTTTATTCCTGAGGAACCCAAATAAATGAGAGAGATCTCACTGTCTGACTTGATTTGGTCTAAAGAAGAGAGATTTTCAGGTACCTTTGGTGAGAGACAAAGATCGAACGACTGTCCGTTAGACAAATATAGTGGTCGTTGCAGAATGTTAGAGCGCTAAGAAAATAACTAATTCTTCGGTGGTAAATTCCGATGTATGTAGAGGAGGCCGACCTGAGATCGTGTAACCTTAGGATTATGCCAATTTCGTCTGATTGTTTGAGTCCATCGGTTACAAAAGCAATACAGTTAGAGAGATTCTATTGGCGAAACTCTGCAAGCAGAGCTCGAATCTGAAACGGTAGTAAATTTTTGAGTTGGAGGGTGGTATTTAATCAGGGCCGGCTTATGCATGTCGCGGCCCCTAGGCAATGCTCGTCTCGCCCCCCCCCTACCGTCTTCTATCTTCCTAATATATTTTTTCGCTAACACAACACTTTATTCATAATTACACTGTTTTTTACTACATAGATATATTATCACATTATTCAATAAAAATATTGAATCAAACGAAAAGAATATAAGTAATTAATATATGCATTTAAAAAAAATCATACAATAAGCTTAAATATTAACTCTTCTAACTTTTTTTGTTACAAAATCGTTCAAGACATCCTGAAAGTTAACCTTTTCCAATACATCATTTTCAATTGCCATTATGGCCAATGAATTTAAACTTCACATTTGTCAAGTCCTGTATTACGTAATAAAATATGAAAAAAATAATAAAACTTACGTATAGTAATTTTAACTTCAGTTTACACTACACGGATTTTTACTCGTCGTTTCACCGATTTTCTCGAAGCCCAAAGCACCTCTGCAGTCTTTATAAATAAATATCCAATACTTACCTCTAAATTCGTAAGTTTTGAAACACAAACTGTAAAACTCTCTTTTCATTCACAGCCGTAAAACTCGCAAACAAATTGCACGAAGTGAAAAAATTCAACGATTACATTAAAAATGTTGTCTATGACACAATACTACCTATGTATTTAGCGGATCGGGGAATTCCCCAGTCATGCGACGAAAGAATCAGTACTGCCAACCTTATTTTTACATACTCTTTGGTAGCTTGGCCATAGAATATACATACCTAAGGTAGGTACCAGAACAGTAACTGTGCATTCACAACGTAGAATTTTGCGCGTTTTTCAAGCGTGTTGTCTTAAAAAAGCTGCTCTTGCTGTATAGTCATCTGATTAGTCGGCGTTAAAATAACCGCGATAAAATTGCTTGCGATTATATTACTGCGTTATATATGAACTAACTACCATAATATTAATATCTAATTTGGAATGCGTTCAGAAATGTACTAAAATAGCGTCGATGTAATGTACAGAGCAAGACAATCGTCATTGAAATTTCGAATTAAATTTTTACTGTTTAAGAAACATTGTCAATTTTTTTCTCTGTAGCACAGGGCCCCTGAACGTGGCGGGGCCCCTAGGCAGTTGCCTACAGTGCCTAATGGATAAAACGGCCCTGTATTTAATAACGTTATCTTAAGAAATATTCTTGCTGTTCATCCATCTGTGCATGAATGGTATAAATGGAGTTCTTTTACATCGTGGAAAGCGGGATGGAGGGAGATGTAGATGATGGTAAGCTGGAGAAGATTATTGGAGGGAGGTAGAGTTTTGCTGAAGGCCATTTATGACCTGAAGCTAGTGCACTCACTGCCGCTTCTTTAACCCTTTTGCGCCGACTGTCACAAATACGTGCCAGCATAAAACCGTATCAATCAGGGTAAAAAGATAAAACTGGTAATCAAAGTAATTCTTTAGCAGTTTATTTGTGGGCGTAGTTATAATTGTTTGATTTATTTAATTTACCATTACTTTGTTCAAAATAAAACTATTTAGTTATACTTTGAATTAACATTGATAATATGTATGATTAAACTAACAATAATTAAAGTAAAAGCAAAGTAAGTCTGTCAAATTAGAAACGACTACATTTAAGTTACCGTTTTTTATTTAATTAAGTCCTGATCCTGATTTTGTACGAATGCTTTTCTGAATCACCCGTCCCCAAGGGATTAAGATGGAATAGAACTTGTGTCCATCGAGGCAAACCAGTTGCCACACGAAATGCATAATTGTATAATACGTCTAAGGTTCGTAGATCGGTTTGGCTGGAAAAAGAAAAGATGTGGCTTCCGAAGTCATGGACACTCCTGACACAAGAGTTGACTATTCGGAGCAAGTGATCTTATTGAGCACCCCAGCATGAGATAGAGTTACAGCGAAATACAGAAGGTTTCTTTAGGATTTTTTGTTTTAACACTCTGAAGTGATAGGGAAAGGTCATGTTTCTAAAAAAATGTAGGCCGAGAATCTGAAGGTTTTAAACCCAGGGGATGGGTAGGGCCAGATCAAGCATACTAAACATGTGCGGTTAGGGGGGGGGGCGGTACCACAAGGCACCAATGAAAAAAATTTTTATAGAAATATTTTTTAACTCATTTTCATTTGATTATAAGTTCTTAAACGAGATCATGGTTTAAACTAAATTGCTATTGTACCCATAAGCAGAATATTTTCAAATGTTCTGCAACAGGACTTATTAATTTACACAAATGTTCTGCAAGCATTTCACAGCGAAAGAAAGTCAACTTTACATTAAAATACTATATTTTCACTTATTAAAATACAGGATCATACTCGGATAATCTACATTCTTTTT